TTTCCAGTTCTTCCCGCAACCATGCACCTTCCAGTCCTCCCCAGCAGCCACGGTTTTCTGCTTCCCGGCCCCATAATTTCACCCAAGCCCATCACGTGCAAGGCACCCAGGCCCCCGCATCTTCTTCTACTCCAGCGACCCACCAAGTGCATGGGGCCCAGCCCACTTTGCATGACTTGCAGCTTACCATGCCTGACCTCTCTGCCGAGCAGCACTCCCGTGTTCTAGCTGCTCTACGTGACACCACCACCCCTCCTCAGGCCAATGCCGTGCTCACTACTGATTTTGCCCAAGGTTTGTTACCTGTCACCTCTCGTCATGGTCAATGGATTCTTGACAGTGGTGCTACGGATCATATTACTTCTTCGGCCTCATGTTTGGTTAATCGTTCTCCTTCACATTTGCCGCCTGTTTCTTTGCCTAGTGGTGCTACCGCTCCCAATACTTTTACCGGCACTCTTCCTTTAAATTCATCAGTTACTTTGAAGGATGTTTTATGTGTCCCTAATTTCCGAGTGGACCTTTTATCGGTTGGTAAACTTACAGATGGATTATCGTGTTCCATAACCTTCTTTCCTTCTTGGTGTGTTTTGCAGGACTTGGTTTCGAAGGCGATGATTGGTGTGGGTAAGCGACGTGGCGATCTGTATTACCTTGTGGCCCTTACCTCTTCTCTCCCCACCCATCAACCTCTCTGCGACATCATTACCATCCCCTCCTCCCTCTGGCATAGGCGTCTTGGTCACCCCTCCTCCACTCGTTTGCAAGCTTTAGCATCTAGCTCTCTTAATTGTACTTTTGATTCTAGTCATATTTGTGATGTTTGTCCGTTGGCAAAACAAACTCGTCAACCTTTTCTTTTGAGTTCAATTTCATCAACTTTCCCTTTTGCTTTAATTCATTGTGATATTTGGGGCCCGAATCGTCAATCTTCTCTTTCTGGTGCTCATTATTTCTTAACCATTGTGGATGATTTTTCTCGCTTTACGTGGGTCTTCCTCATGAAACATAAATCCGACACTCAACAATTAATTAAGGATTTTTTTGCTTATGTCACTACCCAATTCCGCACTACCATCCAATGCATTCGTACTAACAATGGTGGTGAATTTTTATCTCTTCGTAGTTTTTTCTCTGATCATGGGGTGCTTTTACAAACTTCTTGTGTTTATACCCCCCAACAAAATGGCGTTGTTGAAAGAAAACATCGTCATCTTCTTGAAACCGCTCGCGCCCTTCGTTTTCAATCCCATCTTCCTATCAAGTTTTGGGGGGAATGTGTTCTTACCGCTACTTATCTCATCAATCGTCTCCCTACCCGTCTTCTCCATCATAAATCCCCATTTGAGGTTCTCTTTTCGAAAACCCCATCTTATGACCACTTCCGCGTCTTTGGTTGTCTGGCATATGCCACCTCTGTCACTCCCACCACCAAATTTTCCCCTCGGGCTCATCGTTGCATTTTTCTCGGTTATCCTCATGGACAAAAGGCCTATACCCTTTACGATCTCGACAATCACCGCATTTTCACTAGTCGAGACGTCATCTTTCACGAAACTACTTTCCCTTATGCCGTTTCTCACCCTCCTATCCCATCCTCTTCACCTACCCTACCCATCCCACCCCCTCTGGACTTTACATATAACCCACCCCTTCCTGCCCCGACGCCTCACCCTCCTCCACCTTCCTCCCCTTCCACGCCTCCCACAGATTCCTTTGCTGCCCCATTACCCGTTCCTCCCCATGCCCCTTTACCCACGAACATCCCTACCCCCCCCCCCACTACCTACCAATCCTCCCCTTCCCCGCACCTCTTCCCGTGCCCATAAACCTCCATCCTATTTAAAAGACTACGTTTGCTCGCAGGTGATTCTGCCATCCCACCCATCTTCGACTTCGCAACCCGGTTCTACACAAGGTACGCGATATCCACTTTGTAATTTTCTCTCTTATCACCGTTACTCTCCCAGGCATTTTTCTTACATTAACTCTGTCAGTCGGACTGTGGAGCCTTCCTCCTTTGCCGAGGCTGCCACTGACCCCAATTGGCAACGTGCTATGACTGAGGAGCTTCAAGCTTTACATGCTAATGGTACTTGGACTTTAACTTCCTTGCCCCTGGCAAAATTCCCATTGGTTGTAAGTGGGTGTACAAACTCAAGCACAATTCCGACGGCTCTATTGACCGCTACAAAGCTCGTTTGGTTGCTAAAGGCTTCACTCAGGCTGAAGGTATTGATTATCATGACACTTTTTCTCCTACTGCTAAGATGATTACGGTGCGTTGTCTTCTTGCTCTTGCTGCTAGTCAGTCTTGGTCTCTTCATCAGCTTGATGTTAATAATGCTTTCTTACATGGTGACTTACATGAAGAAATCTATATGTCTCCTCCTCCTGGTCTTCGGCGACAGGGGGAGAATCTTGTGTGTCGCCTTCACAAGTCACTTTATGGTCTTAAGCAGGCTTCTCGCCAATGGTTTGCCAAATTCACTAGTGCCATCATTTCTGCCGGTTTTCAACAATCCAAAGCTGACTATTCATTGTTCACTAAAAAGTCTGGTATTTCTTTCACAGCTTTGCTCATTTATGTGGATGATATTGTGATTACAGGCAATGATGCTAGTGCCATTAATTCTCTGAAGTCTTTTCTCCGTGATCATTTTCGGATAAAAGACCTTGGTGATTTAAAATATTTTTTGGGTATTGAGGTTTCTCGTTCCAAACAAGGGATTTATATTTCTCAACGCAAGTATGCATTAGAGATTCTCAAGGACTATAGTTTTTTGGGAGCACGACCAATTGCTTTTCCTATGGATGACACAAAATTATCTGATAAAGGAGAACTTCTCAAGGATCCTGAAAAGTATCGACGATTAGTAGGTCGGTTAATATATCTCACTATCACTCGGCCGGATATCACCTATTCTGTGCATGTTCTAAGCCGTTTTACGCACGAGCCAAAGATATCTCATATGGATGCTGCGCTTCGTATTGTTCGTTATTTGAAGGCTACTCCAGGTCAAGGTTTATTATTTCGTTCTGACAACCAGACCAAGTTAACTGCGTTTTGTGATTCTGATTGGGCAGGTTGCCCTATCACTCGCCGTTCGACTACTGGGTATTGTGTATTCTTGGGCGGTTCTTTGATTTCTTGGCGGACGAAACGACAAAAAACCATTTCGCTCTCTTCAGCAGAGGCGGAATATAGGGCCATGGCAGGTGCTTGTTGCAAGATAGTTTGGCTTCGTTTTTTGTTGAAGGATTTGAACATTCCTTTGGATGGTCCTTCCATTTTATTTTGTGATAATCAAGCAGCGTTACATATAGCTGCCAATCCTAATTTTCATGAACGAACTCGTCACATTGAGATGGATTGTCACTTTATACGAGATAAGATTGTAGATGGCATAATAGAGACCAAGCATGTGGGTACGGCACAACAGTTGGCAGACTTGTTTACCAAACCTCTTGGGAAAGAAAAGTTTTCGGGTTTGTTACGCAAGTTGGGAGTTCTTGACATCCACTCTCCAACTTGAGGGGGAGTGTTAGACAAATAAGGAATATGGTGGGATTCCTTGTGTAATTGTATATAATATTACACACTAGCCGTCCTACAGCCGTCTAGCCGTCCTACAGCCGTCAAGTCGTCCTACACACTAGGATGGCTACCTTGTCCTACCTACACACTTGTATCATGTATATATATCCTTGTAATCTTGTAGAGAAGGATAATGAGAAAAAAAACATTCTCTTCCATTTTTCCACATTCACGTATCAATAACAAATATATATTTTTAGCCAACATACCTTTTTCTACACATTCTACACTCCTCACAAGTATATTTTTCTTTCTAATTATAGAAAGTTTGAAGTGCAAAATGAGAATTTTGGCGTGCTAATAAAAATTCTCATTTCGAACTAACCATGTTTAATGATTAAACGTAATGACATATGTGTACCTAGAGATGCATGGATGAACAGGGAAGAGAGGAAGAGAAGAAAAAGGAAAAGAAAAAAAAAATCAATAAATCCATGTGGTTAATTTGTTTAAGATTGTCGCTAATTGACAAACAAAAAGAGATTAGTTTGTGAATGGAGAGGGTTAAGTGAAAAGTAAAAGGAGATTATTATGAACTATATATAGGGAGGACACCGGTTTAAAGGTTCTTAATTGTTTCTAGTTTAGCTCCATGAAATTTCAAGCTCTTGATTTTTTTTTTTTTCCTTATAACGGGAACTAGTAGCTTGGCAATCCACTCTTGCGGAGCGAAAAGACTCATAAAAGTATTTCAATCTCCCATATCATCATCGTGTAATACACCAGCGCTAGGAATCGAATTCATGACGTGTCGTGTAGAATATGAACATGAAATTCATCCCTAACCACAAAATCACTCCGTGATGGTTCTCTTGTATTGATATTGCAAATATCGTATTTCTGCCATTGAAGTTTCAAGAAATTGTGCGGTACTTGTATATGTGGGTTGTAACAAGTGACTGAATTACAGTACCACAAAATACATGAACGTGGAAGTAAAAATGTATTTAGAGGCCCATCTAAGTCGGACCAAACTATCCAGAAATCGTAGCCCAATTCCGAAAGAGTTCGACAGGATTGGACTTCTATGCTGGATGGCAAATCAATAACTTCACTGTGGTTTGTTTACAATTACGTTAGCACATGACCAAAATTTGCACTATATTTGTTGGCCTTTTAATTTTTATTTTTTATATAGAAGCCGCAGTGTGAGTTTCCAAAAAAACAAAAAAAAAAAAAAAACCAAAGAAGCCTCAGCGTGAGAGTGGCAATTCAAACACAGAACCTCAGTGCTTGATAAATGTTTTTAATTACTTGAGCTATAATTACTTTTGGTTCATTTGTCATGAATGGTAAGTTCGATACCAAATTGTTACTATAGCAAAGCAAAGCATAGCAAGGAAATAAATTTTAATCAATTGAAAACCCCAAAATTAGATTATTTGGAATTTTGGAGAAGAAATGTATAAGCATTGTATGTATTGATCTGACATTTGTAAAGTAAGTAATACAATTACTTTTGATATAAAGGTTGTATATCTCAACAAATCCCACCCACAAACAAAATGAACCGAATTTCCCCCTCTTCTTTTCCAACTAATTTAATTATTCCTCACTTAATATACACTAATATTATATAATTCAAAAGAAATTATTTGCAGAAACTACACAGCATGATTACATAGGACTAGGAGCAGATGCAGGTTCAAATGCCTCAGAAGGGGGATATGCCGCACTCAACCCTGATGGTAATTGGGAGCCGTGAGGACTAGGGGCGGCCTCGCCAGAGCTCAGAAGCGCGATCATGGCACGGTGAGGGTTGGAACGCTGCTTGTCGCAGAGATCGGGCAAGAATACACCTGCATTTTTCAAAACATATAATTAAGTTCTATATTAGATTATGTTGCATTGTACAGTTCTTACATACAAGAAGAATAAGATGTATAATATACAATCGTAGTAAAACTTGGTCACGTGATCAACATATGATACAATCAAATTATAAAAAAAAATGTTGCATATACCAGTTGTATGTAAGAATATTTCGTTGAATCACATGCCTCCATTTTATTAAAGTGTACCATAGTAAAAGGGGTTGATTAAATTAGAAGGAAATCCATCACAAGGAAGGTATCGCAATGCCATCTACATGACAGAAAAAGAAAACGAAAGCAGACCAAAGTGAAGCATATTCCTAGGCAACATTTTTAAGCACGCCTAAAAGTATTATGGGGTTTTTCTATAATAAATCAGTGTATGAGATATATCAGTGTTTAAATATTTAAATTAAAATTGTTAAAACAGCTATGCATATCAAACCGATTAATGCACTAGTGTAACCCATACACCAATAAATTAAATAATTCTCGATCTATCTTACTCTTCTTTTGTTTTAATATTAGTCCTAAAAAGAAGAGAAGGAATGTTTTAGGTGTGACAAAACAATCATTCTTAACCACCTGGAAGTTTGGAACCACTAAATAATATAATTAATCGAAAATAAAAAACTTAATTAATGATTTGTGAAAATATTCTTACCCTCTCCAGCTGCCAAGTTGAAGTAAAGGTCAGCAATGTTGGGGCACTTTTGGTAACAAGGAGCAGAGCAGAGCTTAGCCATGAACTGAGGCTCAAGGAGGGCATCAGACGAAATCCCAACAGACTTCCTATCAATCCCACAAGCCTGCACGCACTGATCTGTCTCTATGTAATCAGCCACTCCCTCCACCACAACTTCTGATGTCCTGCACTGATACTCTATGCTTCCATCTTTCTTGGACATGGTCTCTAACAAGCACCTTTTCCCGGCTGACGACACCGAAAATGCACAAACATCGTTCGGCAAATCCTCGCATATAAACTCACCTGAAAAAAAAAATGATCAAAACAAGTTTAATAACTGCAAACCATTTAATTAAGTAGTTAAAGAACATTGTATATAACCATAGCCGATCGAAGACACATTGTTATAACCAACTGACCTAGAACTACATGGATGGATAGGAAGGAGAGGAAGAGAGCCAAAAACTTGGTGGAAACCGCCATGTGTGGAGGATCTGAGAACTAATGTGGGGTTTTGTTGGACAAACAAAAACTCAGGAGAGAGATTTATTTGTGATATTAGAGTGAAGGGAGAAGGGTGGATTTATAACGAGGAGGAGGTTATGAACTGTGAAACAACAAAAGGCAACGACTAGCTATATATAGAGATGGGAACGTTGAAATATAAGGCGGCGTCTCTACATTCATGGACGCGTTTGCAACCTTCCTGCAGGTTGGTGAAACTGTACGTCTACGATCCTCTTTGAATTTTTTATGTTGGAGCCCAATTTGTCATTTGTTCTATTTTCTATTTTTTCTTATTTGTTTTTTGGTTATTATTATTATTATTTTTTTTTTTGTTTTGATTTTGTTATTGTTTATTGACTTGTTTTATTTGATACGTGTTTTATTCTTGACCCCTATAGTTAAAATGCAAAGGTGTGGAAAGCCTGCAATTTGAAATTTCTTCTCTCTCTCCATTTGTGGTGTTAGGGTTTGTTGACATTTAATTCGTATAGATGCATGACCGACGTTGTACATATTGAACTTTCTGTGTGGCTTCTTGATTATATATTCCTATTCCATTCAACAAGTTGAAAATTAATATATGGCTTTTTAGCCAAAATAATTATGAGAATGACGTAATTCCTTATTTTGATCTATGAAATTTAAATTGATAGAATTTGTGTCTGAGTTTGTTCATCATCAATCATTTTGGTATTTTCATGAAAAATCCCCATTAAATAAGAATAAAATAACAAAATATCCTCAATTTTGTCAAATCATTTTGGCCTATTGTTAGGGTATTTTTATCATTTTGATCCTTATTTAACAAAGATTTTCATGGAACAACCAAAGCGATTAATGTGAACAAACTCAGAGGTCACTCCTATTAATTTCAAATCTCAAAGACCAAAAGAATGAGTTAATTATGTCAATCTCAAAAACCATTTTAGCTAAAATCCCTTTATATATATTAATGAAGTACTTTAACTAATATAAGTTCTTGTAACTTATTGTCTTTGTGATATAACTACAAGCCAGCAAGGTTAGAGTTGGATATGATTACCAAAAAGACCTTAATTAACAAATTTGGTCAAGGTAAACGAAAAATTAAAAAAATATATTTCTACTTCTATTTATTTGTCTTGTTTAGCTAAACTAGACAAACCATTAAGCAAATATTGCATAGTCAAGAAGGTTTGTTGGACCTAAATAACATGACAAATGCAATGAATTTGACTTTTCGACACTTGTAATAAATTAAGAAAATGGAAATATCATGTACCCATGCTGTGCGTTTCCAATATTTTTGCTTTACAACTTATAAATTCCATTTGATTTGGACTAGGTCATATTAACGTGGCTAACAACCATCTCGAACCATGAATATGTTGATGGCTAAACCAAAAGTCGTCATCTTGGTGGTGAAGTTAATTTCCTTTGTGTACATTAAACGACAGATAGGGTTACACGCGTGAACTACTGTATGGTTCACTCGGCTTCAAAGGAAAGTCCAGATCTTCATGAATGAATGTCGTCTCGTTTTTTCTCGGTAATTTTCATGTGAATGTCATGTCGTGTCGCTGTTTGTCGCTGTTTAGAGAAATAACTAATAGAAACAAGCCAATAAATTAGGTTCCGATGATTTCTAGAACACCAGATCATTGCTGCGAATTTACTCGCACACTAAACGACCTAATCATTTGTCAAAGATTATACTTTTTGAGATGTAAGGTATTTAGACTATTGACCCAAAAAGAAGTATGAATGAAGTATTATAACCTCATGCTGCATGGCTTGAGCATCACCACCCGGTCAAGTACCGTCGGACGAGTGTAATTTATTCTCTGTACTCAACAAATTTCAAAACTTAAACCTGTCTGGGACAACTAATATGGTAGTGATGCTCACGATCGGATAAGGAATGCGAGCAAAAGTGCTCCCTAAGTTTATAATTACTAGTAAAAAATACGGCTATTCACATTAATTCCATAAGTGTCTTTTAGGTTATTCACTATGTTTTCACTGTCAATGCTTAAAAAGTTAACAACTTAAAAAATAAAATTTATCACCACTTACATAAAAACACGTGATGTATCACCCGTATTTCGGTTACAATAAAAAATTTGTCCACCATGCATCCCCTAATGCATGGTCACTGTACTCCGCCCAGGTTTCTATTGATCCTTACCGCACTACATGTGGTTTGGGTGGCTCTCTTCCAACGGTAATTTGGATTGCAGATCGCTGCATGTGTTTTTCCGACATGCATCACATCATCTTTTTACACTGAGCTATAATCCATATGGACACCAATACGCCATCTACTGGTGCACAAATGCACAGATACGTATCCGTGGCTAAATAACAGTGTGTGATGCCCTCAAGAGGGTAAAGAAAAGAATCTCCACCCTTGTCATTGATTGTACTGCTCCCATTTTTTTTTCCTCTTTTTAATTAATATTGTTTGCAAAGTCCAAAGGGTGGAATTGAAGGAAAGAATATAAATGTATGGAAAATAAAAAGGAGAAGAAGGGTGGTAGATCACATCAAGGAAAGGATTTGTCATAGTTATATGGTTGATAGAGGTCTTCCATCTGCAAAGTTGTTCAGTTCTAATTTTTTAAATCATAGATAAAAAAGAATTGCCAAGTTATTGCTTAAGTTGTCCTCCGTTTGCTACTTCATATTATTAAAGTAAAATTTGTGTATTTATTTTTTGACATTAAAGTCCAAATAATAAATTTTCAGAAATTAAATATCGTTTGAGGTTTCAAGTTACAGCCAAATCGTGCCAAAAATTGATAGCAAATCCCTTTCGCCTTTTATTTGTCTCCGTCTTTCTTTAGCTGAATAGTACCAAACAAATATTGTTTTATGTTTATACGAGATGAGTCACATTCTCTTAATTACTTGATGAATAAGAAGTCGTGGTCACTCACCTTTAGATTTGATATCAAATGTTGAGATTAAAATATCAATAGCACATCTACTTATTCTTCACTTTTAATGTTAAATCTAAGGATGAGTGATCATGCATTCTTTGGTCACTAAGAGGACAAAATACGAGATTACAAGAACCTATAACCTTCATTTCCAAGATCCAACTAAGTTATCACCAACTTTTCCCATAACACTTCGTCATTGCCAATAATAAGACCGTGTAAATCTAGCCTAGAGGTATTCCCTTCTACCAAATCTGGGTCACTTGTGTGGTGAAACCAAGCTTTATGCAAATTGCTAAGAGCTCTTGAGTAAAACTTGCCGCTACACCTTGTTATAAATTTAAGTTAAAGGAAAACTAATGAAAATGAATTGAAAACTTTTAAGTTTTAATGATAAGGACAAAATAAAGGGTAAAGTAAATAGTACCATGATTGACTTTTTAGTGTAAAAATGTGGTTTTTCATCAAATTAAACAGTACCGTAGACTTTTCGTTAAAACTCTCTTAAGTTAATCCAAATACTTGGGGATCAAGGTTCCTGAGCCTAGGTTTTAAAGCCCACAATCATTAGCAATTCGGCTTAATGGAGTTGATTAACGACCTAAACCAAACATCAAATCCAACCCAACCCAAATTGCATTCCCACTTGTTATTTGTTATCTCCCTCCCCCTATTGGCCTCCTCCAGGAAACCATGATCGCAATACCAAACATTACAAAAGCAAGATAAGTGGGACCCAAATAGAATAAGAAAAATATCAGAAATTGTTGCTAACCTCACAAATCCCACACGCACAATCCAACTAAAAAAAAACAAAAAAGCCAGAAAATCAGACACTGAAAAGAAAAATCAGAGCAAAAATCAGAAACACCAAATCATGGTTGCAGCAACGTTAACTTCACCGTCGTCCCAACTCCTATGCTCAAGCTCCCGGTCTCTCTGTAACATCTCTCCTCTCCAACAATGTGTGTTGGGCTCCAAAACAGTCGTCTCGTGCCCTAACTTAACTTACAACAAGAGGAGGCATGCGGCTGACGGGGTTAGGTGCATGGCCGTGGCGGCGGAGACAACGGAGCCGAAGAAAAAGAGCGGGTACGAGATTCAGACGCTGACGAGCTGGCTGCTGATGCAAGAGCAGGCCGGGGTGATCGATGCCGAACTGACCATCGTGCTCTCTAGCATTTCGGTTGCGTGCAAGCAGATTGCTTCTTTGGTGCAGAGGGCTAGCATTTCCAACTTGACCGGGATTCAAGGTGCGGTTAATATCCAAGGAGAGGACCAGAAGAAACTTGATGTTGTCTCCAATGAGGTTTGTGCTTCTTCTAATTCTTAACTAAAATACAAACGTGAGTTCAGTCAGCTGGTTAAGACAATATGTTCGTCATTTAACATTTGGATTCTAATTCCCTCCCATTGAGTTCAAATTACTAATCAATTTGGTGATGGTTTTGGTATTTATCTGAGAAAAACAAAGGACAAAATTAAACAAAAATGTTCCTTAACAAAGAAAAATTAGGCAGAGTTTTAGTAAAATATAATAAAGGCACAAAAACAATTCCGTTGCCGGGACTTGAACCCGGGTCTTTCGGGTGAGAGCCGAATATCCTGACCAACTAGACTACAACGGATTAGCAATTTTGTTTTGGTCACAATCAATAAAATGGTTTGAGTTGGCCCACCTTCATAAATAGAGAGTTTGATTATGTACCACAAACAGGTTTTCTCAAATTGCCTGAGATCAAGCGGAAGGACAGGGATTATAGCATCGGAGGAAGAGGATGTGCCGGTGGCGGTGGAAGAGAGTTATTCCGGCAACTACATTGTGGTGTTTGACCCACTTGATGGATCATCCAACATTGATGCTGCTGTCTCCACTGGATCCATCTTCGGAATATACAGCCCGAATGATGAATGCTTTGCACACATTGAAGATGACTCAACCGTAAGTCCACTAATACAACAATGTTTCATTTGTTCATAATTTCGTTCATTGATAACGGATAAGGAACTGTCAAATGTCATGTTATATGTCACATAAGTTGATAACTGGAGATACATTTACTTGCTATGAGAATCTCATTGTAGCGGTATTTCAAGTCAATCACGCATTGTCATGTGTTTTAACTTTCTCAAATAACAGGTGCGTAATTGACTTAAGATCTCACCATGGCATTTCCATTGCACGGAAGTTCTTCTCTAATGAGAAACGTAGTAATCCGGCTAGGGTTTTCCCCAATTTTCGCAATTGAATGGTTGGAATGCTTCAATGTTGCATTGCAGCTTGATAGTGTGGAACAGAAATGTGTAGTGAGCGTGTGCCAACCAGGAAGCAACCTACTTGCTGCTGGCTACTGCATGTATTCAAGCTCAGTGATCTTTGTGCTCACAATTGGGACTGGTGTTTTTGCATTTTCGTTGGACCCCATGTACGGAGAATTCGTCTTGACTCAAGAAAACATTCAGATTCCGAAAGCCGGAAAAATTTACTCATTCAATGAAGGGAACTATCAGCTGTGGGATGACAAGTTGAAGAAGTACATTGATGATCTTAAGGACCCAGGTCCTAGTGGCAAGCCCTACTCTGCAAGGTACATTGGCAGCTTGGTTGGTGACTTCCACCGGACGCTGCTCTATGGCGGCATCTATGGTTACCCTAGAGACAAGAAGAGCAAGAATGGGAAGCTGAGGCTGTTGTATGAGTGTGCACCAATGAGCTTTATAGTGGAACAAGCAGGTGGGAAAGGGTCTGATGGCAATTCCAGAGTACTTGACATTGAACCAACTGAGGTGAGTACATTGTGAGTTTCTGCAGCTCACTTTGTAAATTGATTGACTACAATTTCTACTTTTGTTTCTGCAGATCCATCAACGTGTTCCGCTTTACATCGGAAGCATGGATGAGGTGGAGAAATTGGAGAAGTACTTGGCATGATCAGAATGTGACAACAAAGATTTAATTTTGTTTTGTGAGATAAAGTTGTATGAGAACTTTTTCTCAAGAAGAACAATGAACTAAAGAGACTTGGACTTTATATTTGGTTTTTGCTGAAATTATGAAAGTCAAAAGCAGACCTTGTTAAATATGAACAATCCTTCGTATTCGAGGAGAGAGACTTACATGAAACGGAACCAAGTACAAGCCATTAGCCTACGTAAGCCCAGGACTGCAACCAGAGCATATTAACTACAAAATTACATGTATTTCTAAGGAGCATGAGAGTCACGCCGTGAGTTATCTAATGATACAGCAACTCTAAGTTGTTGAATTGTTAACATAATTAGAAATCTTCAGCAGGAAGTCCAGTACCAAGTCAGCCTAATAGTCATTCCCAGAAACAGTCAGATCGTTGCAGTACAATTCTCCTAAGCCTGAGAGCTTCCGCGATTTTTCACTGCAATTGTGAAAGCATGCGAATTATTAACTCTAGACTTTTGAATGCAAATGAAAGGAAACATAAGAAAAGATGGTGAATTTACCAGGGCTTATAATCCTAATACATTTCGTCACAGACTTCATCGCGGTCAAGGAATCAGATCCTGCAACAACCACGAGTAACTCGTTAGATATTCAAGATGGATGAACAGGATGCAAACTTTATGGCAATAGAAGATGTGTTAAATTACCTTGCACATTCGTGTCCTTCTCTGATAGTACTTCTGTCACAGTTGATGTAAATTCTGACAAAACTTGATTGGCCCCCACTGTTACCATCCGCAGATTCATAAGATGACCTATATGAGTTTTGTAGAAGAGAACATAAGAAAATTGAAGTGAAATGAAAGTAGTGAAGAGAATAATGTAGTAGTTGTGATGTAAAGTATGGAAGGTAGAGAATACCCCGAAACCGTCGCAGTGGAAGCATCAAAGTTTGGTAGACCAAGTTCTTCACAATGAAGATCAAATTCACCTAACATTTCAGTGAAGGAGAAATCCGCCCCAATGGCATCAAAGTTCGTTAAATCAATGTCGAAGAGATCAACTTCCTTTTCAGACTCGGGTGATGAAATCTCATCGCTAGATGGTTTCTCCAAGCCCATTGGCACATCAGAACAGTCAAAATTGAGCCTTCCCTTTACGTGGGACTCCCTCTTACTTGTCTTGGCAGGTGAAGAAATGCAATGGTTTGTTTCCACAGTGTAGCAAGATTTGTTTGGGCTCAGAGTCACTCTCTTTGAAGAAAAAATGGTGCAAGTTGGATTTACATCTGGAGGAGAATTATAACTGCAAGTAGCAGTGGAAGAAGTCTCAAAAGGTGTAGACTTGCTGCCTTGAATTGAATTTGCTCGCTGAGGTGTCTGAGGACCAGAGTTATTCGTTGGGACAGAAAATGATGGCTGGTTGAACAAGCATTTAGCTGCAGTGGAGCCATTGGGAACCAAATCGTGAGGTGATAGGGTGAACAGCCAAAGAGGATTGGGCGGATTTTTTATTATCAAGTGCATTACCTGATCCAGAAACCGCTTGTTCTCCTGCTCATTTTAAAGTTCAAGGAACATAAACACCTAATGATATAAAACAGATTAAGAGCAGCACAACTTTGAAGAACATGCACAGTCCTATACCTTTGTTGTGCATATTGCTCTTGCCAGCAGGTAATTTGCTGCAAGATCTCTTAGCAGCATTCGAACCATTCACAGGAACGTTAGAACTCTTTCTCTTAGTTGAAGGTGGGTCAACTGTAATTGGCGAGCAGAAATTCCCAGGCCTCATGTTGGGGTTGGAAGGTGTTGACACAGGAGCAACTGGTGTTTGGTGCATTAAAAGACCCAATCAAAAGGTGCCGAAAAAAACATTAAACCATGTTGAATTCATAACTTATAGAGCGATTATTCATGTGGGTTTTTGCTAATTTATCACAGCCTCAAAAGGGTTCAAATATTTAAGGCAAACGAAACGAAACACCTAAAAGTTGAAGCATCTAAGCCCTCAAAAGTCACATGCAACTTTCACTATATTCTCAATGAATGCAACAAATTTCTCAAACACAAACAAAAACAATAAGATATTACCTGCAACTGTATATTGTGGCCATCAATGGTTCAAATAACTAGTTAAGGCAAATAAATGTATAGTCTACGAGTTCAAGTTGAAGCATATGAGCTCTCTAAACATGCAACTTCCACAAGATTTCTCAATTCATTCAGGCAATTTTTCAAACACAAAGCAAATAACCAGACGGGGAGGCTTAGGATTGTACCTACAGCGGACCCATTAGACGGGTGAGACGGAGTAGCCATAATCATCGGCTTCAGAGCCACAGCCGGAGGTGCAGAGACTGTGGGGCTACTGCCGGCATTGTAAGTGTTCATCACGCTTTGCATCCCCTTCAACAGGGTTTGGACCCGGGTCTTCTCCTGCTCCACCCGGACCTTCTCCTGATCCAAAATCACCTTCTGCTCCTTCAACAGTATGTACTCGTCCAAAATCTCCGCCAAGCTCAGCAAACTCTTCGGCGCCTGCAAAAATCAGGAAAAAACCCAAATCCCAAATCAGACAAATAAGAAATCTTTCAGACCGATTTCGAACAAATCGGGAAAAATCAAGTGGGTACCTCTCGAATCGGCGATTTGGCGATGAGGGACGAAGCTTCGGTTCTGAAAAGAGAGCGGGTTTCCGAGTAGTTGTTGTCGCAGAGGTATCGGTCGACGATGAAGGCGATTTGGACGGGGGTGACTTTTCCCTTCCCCAAATTCTCAGATTTCTTGCCTTTGGATTGCTTCCCCATTTTCTGAATATTGAGAGATACCGTGGAAAACTAGGGCTCGGATGGAAGCGAGGAGGAAGAAGAAGGAGAAGGAGAGGTTGAGATCTGAGGAAAGAGAAAATGGGAGAGACTTTTTAAGGAGGGAGTTTTAGGGAAAAGAGAGGAGGGAGATGCAATGGAACAACAGAAACCGCGCGAGTTTTTGAAATTTTGGGGACGAAGGATAAAAAGTAACAAGCTTGGTTGGGCTCATTGGGCCCAACAAATTATGAAACGGCCCAAAACTAAACTCTGGGCCATCTACAAATCCAGTCATAAATCCAAGGGGACAGAGAATCCGCAACTCCCTCCTTATCTCCTCTCTCTGCAAAGCTCGGAAGCTTGAGGATGACACAAGGACTTCTCCCATGGAGTCCTTGCCACCACTCTCTATCTCCCACCTCCCTCTTCGCACTCCCCCTTGCTTTCCCCACTACCAAAAACACCCAATTCCCAGTTTCCATTTCCGCCACTCTAGAACCAGAACCCGCCACCACCCAACAACTCACAGCCAGAGAGAGAAGGCAGCTCAGGAACGAGAGGAGAGAGAGCAAAACCGGCACCAGCTGGAAAGAGGAGGTGGAGGAGAAGCTTCTGGAGAAGCCCACGAAGAAGTTCGCCAATTGGAAGGAGGAGCTCAACCTTAATAACCTCGCTCATGAGGGCCCGCAATGGTGGATCATCAAGGTCTCTCGAGTCAAGGGCCAGGAGACCGCTAAGCTCATCGCTCGACAGCTCGCCAGAAACTATCCTCATATCGATTTTAAGGTGTTGGGTTATTTTTATTCAATGTTTTGGTTTTTGGGATTTTTTGCAAAATTGAAGAAATGTGTCACTAACGTCTGTCTAATTTCCTTGATTTTAAGGTATTTACTAGTGTAGTTTAATGTTTTGGTTTCTGGGTTTGCTGCAAATTTGATGTAATCTGATAAAGATGTCTGCTTGATTCCAGCTGAACATGTTGAAATGAATTGTTGCCCTGTTATATGAGTATTTATTATACGATTCAATCTCTAGGCCGAAAACAAACCGTGTAAATATTTGCTTGTTTGCTATTCAGATATACGCGCCAGCTATCCAAGACAGGAAGAAATTGAAAAATGGTAACTTGGTTAAACCGAGACCCCTATTTCCCGGGTGTGTGTTTATAAAGTGTGTATTGGACAAGGAGATACATGACTTCATAAGAGAGTGCGATGGAGTTGCAGGTTTTGTCGGTTCCAAGGTCGGAAATACGTGAGTATTTATTCTTGCATGATAGGTTTGCTGTGTATTACTATTGCCTAATGTTATTGTTATCATAGTAGGAGAAGTGGATAGTTGATGTAGGAAATATGAAGAAACCTTTTAGAGAAAGATGTCAATGTGTGATTTTGTTGAGAATTTACTTGTGTCTAGAACTGATTGAACTTGTCTGGTTTCATTGGTGGGAGTGGGATTGTACGACAAATGCATAAAGTTATGAAGTCATGTTATGTCTGCTCAATTATGTGATATCAAGCTACTTTTGGGCTTATGTGTTCGCTAAAACATACGAAGTAGATTGTGGGTTTAGTTTTCTGGTTTACTGGCGATTTTGCAATCCCCTGATAGCCATTCTTTTCTCTGTTCATTTCTAATCTTGAGGCCATCTAAAGTATATATCCTTCTAGATTACTAGCTACCTTGTGAGATTTCCAGTGAGTATTTATAAAATGTTATTCTCATATGTACAGGAAAAGACAGATAACCAGACCCCGCCCAGTGTCTGAGTTTGACATGGAAGCTATCTTCAAACAGGCAAAGGAAGAACAACAGAAAGCTGAACAAGCTTTTGAGCAAGAGCAGCAAGAAGCAACCCTCAATGATGCTACCGAATCTGATGGAGATTCTAAACCAAGAAGGCGACCTAGAAAAACACTTGATCCTCTCATAAATGGTTCGTCTAAGGGAAAGAGTGAGAAGCTCGTCCCAGGTTCTTCTGTGCGAGTTTTATCTGGTGCTTTTGCAGAATATGTAGGCAGCCTGAAGAAGCTGAATAAAAGAACAAAAAAGGTATGTTTTTCTGGTATTATATATTCAATTTAAATGAGTGAAAATTGGGTGGAAATTAAACATGCATGTCCTCTCTTTGTTGTTGGGGATATGCATGAAAGACTTACTGCTGTCTTCTGTGGGTTATTTTACTCAAGAATCTCAATATACTACATCAAAGACATTCTCTTTTGGAAACTTAACAAAAAAAAGAAAAATTATTTTCATCGTGCAGGCAACCGTGGGATTTACACTATTTGGGAAGGAAAGCTTAGTTGATTTAGATGTCAGTGAAATTGTTTTAGAGACCGTTGGAAAAAAAGTTGTTTCAGAGACCATGTAAATTTGTTCAGTCATCAATCATTATTAAATGGTAAGTTTTTCAATCTTTTTCCCCTTGTTATATCTTACTTTCATCTGTATGAAAATATGTAGCGCCTTTAAACTATAGTTTGATTTTCTGTTTACTTTGTCATGAAATGAAGATGTACTGCATGCTAATTAGAAGTTTCCAAAATTCCATGCTGTTATATTTTATTTGGTTAGGTGAGGTTCTCATTGTAAGTTTCTGATGACGCCATGCACAGATACATGGATATAAAATTATAAATCACATAAACAAGGCAGATATTTATGAAGATCCATTACCAAACCTTATTAAATCGGAAATAGCTAATTTGGATTTGGCCGTCTTATTTGTGGTAAAAAAAACTTTTGCATTCATATTGGTGATGTATGTCCTTAGTTCTTCCTAGGTCACACTTTGGCCCCCCTCTAGGTGTTTTTTCCATTGGCTGCCAACTTCCTTTATTTGAAATTACGGTGACATATTGAGTGATGCATCGCTTATCAGTGTAGTCTGCTTTTGGTTGTGTTTTGGTACTTGTTTCTTACGCTCTTTCTGGTTACCTGGAATTAGGGTACAAATTAATCCATACTCGTGAAAGTTCTGTCAAGGCCCTTGAAAAATTTGCGATATGAAAATATATCTTCGTGTGCACAGAGATGATAGGCGAGTAGATTATGAAGGGTTGTGATGGGACCTGTTATCATAAGAAGAAGAAAGATGGAGAAGCAGAGAGATAAGGAGAAAGAAAATAAAATTAAGATATTCAATATTTCATTCATAATTCTCACTTGAGAACGAAGAGACCTAAATACATAGAAGTTCAGGAAACTACAACCCGAAATACCTAAATGGGCTTATTATACTTAAATGGGTGAGGCCCAATAGGATAGGAACCTCACAGGTTGCTACCAATTCTACGAAAGTAGTAGATAAAAGTTGCAACGTAAAAATTTGTAATTGGTAGTGATGATAGGCTTCAGATCAACACAAGAAGACTTCTTTCATTCTTGAATGCTTTGTTCTTCCTCACTCTCCATACACAGTAGATTGTGACAGCAAAAGTCATCTTCTGTAGGGTAATACCGTAATAGCAAGGGATGTACCTCTCCAAGCGAAACCAGCCCACACTATGATTTGGTCCACATGATACTGAACAAGGGAACTCCACAATTACTCAAAACCTGCCTCCAGATTCCCTCACTAAACGGGAAATCGAAAAAAGGGTTGAGTATGAGTCTAGTGCTGCAAGACAGAAAGCACAATTAGCATAGCTGGAGGGGAAGAAATAATGACCCTCTTTAAGGTAGCAATCTGCCTTTAGTAGGTAAAGGCCAACCATAGAATAAAACTCATTCTGTCAATACTATACCACACTACGCGGTAACTTCATGTTTAGACATTAATTTTCTCCCAAGTTTAGCTACCAGATGGGGTCGTTAGGCACCTTATAACATCTGTACATTAGAATTAGAGGCATGCCAATTCCAAAGACCGCCTTGGACTATTGCTACTATCATGGCTTCATGGGGAAGGCTAGCCGGTCCAATTTAATTAGGGTTCCATCAAAGGATAAGGACTATGGGGTGTCAACTTTTGCGATAAGGACGTAATCCTTCCATCCCCAATAGTATGACAAAAGAGAGTTAGGGAGCCACTCAGCATTAGAATCTTCAGTTCATGAGCAAATCTGTGTAGATTTGCAGAGTCAGTCCACTAACTCTACTTTCATGCTTAATTAGTTATTTATTATCATTCTTTCTTAGAAAACCAAGTTTATTATCATCTTGGGGTCCTTTAGTCATTATCTTAATAAGCTGCTAATTATTTTAATGGGCAATAAGGCAATTGAATCTGCCAGCACTTGCAATAAAAGCGATATCTTACTGGTCAGAAAAGTCACGTTTGCTTTTGCACTCAAGCGTTTTATGATTATACACGTCCGATATGCATATTCATTCTGATTCTGTTGTTTTTTCTGGATGTTTTTTCTTAAGTTCTTTATCCAGTTCTTACTTTCGATTTAGAATATGTTGCGTTTAACCGAGTTCTGTTATATTCTTGCTTGCTTGCGTTCGTTGAAGCCCGTCGTCTTCCATGTCCTTTGAACTAGCTGACTGAATTTGGCCAAGGCATACAGATTATGGATTCATGGAGAGTGCTCACTCTTTGAGGTTTTTAGTTGATAGTAGGGTTTTTGCGCTTTGTCCTGGGTTATGGGTGGGACAATGGAACGGGGACCAAATAAGTTGAATCGCAATACCCATAAAAGTGAAATTTGCGAACTGTCATTGTCTTTCATTTGGTCCCCTTGTCTCAATTTAATGCTTGTATTCCTACTTGTTATATGTGGTTCTAAACACGATATGAATACACGATATCGATAAGAAGGCGTTCTTTCGAGTCTTTCTGACATACAACAATGTATATCAACCTGTAGATGTGAATACACCATGGAACTTTGGAACTAGGATTTCCTAGGGTGGTGCTATCTGCACACTCCTTTTACTGTCCACACACCTCTTTTAAGTTTCGGCCGTGGGATTGAATGTATTAAAGATTAAATGACATAAATTATCAAGGGTGTATGAAAAGTAAAAATAGGTGTATAGATAGCATTAACCATTTTCTATTATACTTTGCAGCATGAGATACTCAAAGGTTTTTTAACCGTTACATCTTTGTTCAAAAATACAAAAGCGAAAATCTCCGAAGCACTGTAGAACTTTTATAACCTGTATCCCCAATTGTATGGTGGAATCTGTCATTTGAATAAAAAAATGGAAAGGATCTTTGAAATTCACCGGAATCACCACCATTAGTCTTGGCCAACTGTAACTGACCACCATAACACCACCAGTGACCCAAAATATTGCTGGCAGTGGCCGAAGTATCAATGTCACGCACCACACCACTATCGACTAAATGACTACATGACATTCTCTATTCAATGCTACACCAGTTGTGTTCTGGAAGCATTCGGTAAACTTGAAAGTGCTGATTGCGTTAACCGACGATTCCACTCCTGCAAACTGGGATACTATGGTGACAGTATTTCAGTTACTGTCAAATTCTCAGTGGTATCAATCGAAGGAGTTTTTTACGGTACCCCAAAGTATGAAATACTCAAGGTGTTTTAACTATTAATTGTTTAAAAATCAAAAGTTACAATTTAATGACTAAAACACCGAAAATAACCCACATTCCTAAATAGTCTGAATTTTCTGTCACTCATAATACAAATATTTCTTTTATTAGTCCTAATTTTTGAGCTTATGCAATTTTAATTGTCTTTTTTTTCTATTTTAAAAAGGATCAGATAATTATTTTGTCACAGTAGTCAACTCTTTCAGGAATCGAAAAGACTTATAAAAGCATTTCAACTTCCTACTAACCACGATTGTGCGAAGGAATTGCTTAGGCATGGGAGCATATTTCGAGTTTGGAGCAATATAACTTAGAGGGAATAAGGATCCTTGCAGGATCTTTTTTCTAAAGATCCTGGGATTCTCAGATCATATTCGTTCATCGTATATTGTACAGTCAGAAATCATTGTAAGTTTTTTTCTTTAAAATTTGATATAGACAATACCTGTTAAAAACTAATCGTACAATATACGATGAACAGATATGCTTTAAGGATTCTCGATGGATCCTCTCTCCCGTGAAAACCAATGGTCCATGTCCATGTGGTAATTCCACCTACCAATAACTTACACGTATGACTACTTTTACTGCCCTTCAACCATTAGTAAGTACATAAACTGCAAAAATAATTTAATAAAACAGTTAATGGACAAAATAAAGAAGTTCTTTATTAAACAAACAATTTGTTTTGCTTTTACAGTCAGGCAGTGAGATAATATGCAGATTAAATTAGATTAATTAGTTTATTCAGTTAGTGAAGGAGACTCCTTCCTCTTTTTGTTTAGTCCAAGAATAGTAGACGACACAAAAGCACGCGCACATCAGTTTTCTACTGAAAAGAGGTGCTAAAGCGAAGCACTGTGCACACCAACCCTATCTCTGTCTCTAGCGGCGCTTGAAAATTTTTTATTGTTATCAAAATACAGGCGATATATCAGATATTTTTATATAAGTGATAAAAAAATAAATTTAAGTTGTTAATTTTTTAACATACATATATCATTAATTGTATAATAACATGTAGTGTAGTATCTCGTGTTCGGATCACAATAAAAAATCTCTGCGCTCGCTCGTCGGTCTGTCTGGTGTTCCGGATGGTCCCTCCGCTATCTAAAACCAAAAGGAAAAATGAACTGAAAAGAGAGAAGGAAGTGGTGGTGGGAGGAGGGAGCAAAATATTAAAAACTGTAAACTCCCGCTTTGTAATCTGCATATACAGCTGTCCCCCTTCCTTTTAAAACACTAAATTGACAACTCGCTCTATATTTCAACATATTCTACAAAATCCACTTGTCTTTTGTTTATTTCATTTGTTGCTACTATGGAATGGAAGTGAGCTTTTGTGTTTCTTTCTTTTGGTGGAAAACCCACCTTGCTACCTAGTTGGACTTGGCAAACGAGTCGTGTTTATAATGTTTGTGTCATTTTTGTGTCACATTGTTATCTTGATGGGTTGTGTTGTGTCAACTCGTTATCTTAACTGGTTCTTAACAATTGTTTAATAACAACTCAATTGGCTCACAGATCTTGTCATTTCATGTCGGTTAAAAGGGTCATGCAAGAAATTTTCATGTTTAATGTATAGATCTGAAAAACAATATCTGATCGATCCTATCGGGTTCTTAACGGGACCTAATAACAACTCAATTCGTTAACAATTCCACAACAGGTGACCGATAATTGCATGACTCATTAACAGGTTGATCCAAAATTTGATATTTTCGTGTCGTTTTTGTGGAGCCAAAAATAATCAAGAAAAACATGGAGGCAACACATGGATTTTTGGGTAAAAAGACAAGATTACCCTCGAGGCACACCGGGATTTCTACGCGCAAGCAGTGGACAACCATCCCTCAATCAAGTCAAAGGTGCCCAAAATAGGTATTTATTCAAAACCTATTTCATCCATCCTCATCAAATCTTCTCCACAAGGTAACCCCCAAATCATTCATTTCTAATTATATTAATTAGCTAATTAATTGATTTATTACATAATTAATTTATTAAGTAGCTAACAAATCATGAACCTCACCCAAAAAGCCATCCAAGTGGCTGGTCCTCCTCCTCCCAAAGGGGCCGGCCACACCCCTATACAAACACCCTCATTTTCTCCAAAACCTAATTTCTACACTCTTACTAAATTCTTTAAATTCTCCAAACACTTTTCCCTCAAAATTTTAACTTTGGAATCGGAGGTTCTTCTGTCAAAGCCCCCTCCATTCATCGTGGGCACATGAGGCTCTTGGCCTTGACCTAAGGTGTTGTTTGTTTTATAGATGCAATTTTGTCCAAGAACAAGGAGGAAGAAATTTGCATCCATAATTTTGTATCGGGTTAACGGATGAACTGATTATGATTATACTTTGCATAGTTGAAGCCATCATATTTCATGATATACTAATGTTCTTTTGTCATACTTTTGTCGATAAACAAGTACTTGTTAATATTATGTTGTTGAAAAACATTTTGTCCATACTCAACCTAATCAATAGTCTAAATTTACATTTTAACATTATAAGATGTTTATGTTGTTAGATAATTTAGCAAATATATTTCATTGTATTGTACGCTTAAGAATCTTAAAAAGAAAAAAACGGAAATGAAAAAGTAGTTTTATGAAGTTTATCATTATCAATAAAAGATCAAAAGTAACGGCCAACTCTGCAAATGCACAAAACAAACAAGTACACATGAAAATTTAACAAAAGTAGAAGCACACAACTGCAAAAAAAAAAGTCCTTTATTATATGCCCTCAGTCAGCAACAACTCAGCGAAAGTGACTCGAGAGTTCGCAGAAACGAGTAAACGTATTTAATTTTCACAACCTCCAACCCAACCTCCTCCTCCTCCTCCTTATTCTTTACTCTCCTCCTCTGCTTTCTTCCACTTCCAAACCCTAGAAAAAACCAAAGATTCCACCTTTAATTGCAAATGTATCTCTTCCCCAACCCCTAAAAACCCAACTGCTCAATCCCCACCCAGATTCAGCTCCATCCCACTTCATCCATGGCCGCATCTTCCATCTCCCACCACTTCGCCGCCGTGGCTTTCCTCATTTTCTTCCTTAGAACCACTTCCACCGCCTCCAACTCCTCCTTTTCGTTTACCCATTTCGGTAAAGTTTCAAACTTTGGGTCAGATATTGCTCTGTACGGAGATGCAGAGGTCGTCAATGGCGGATACGCAGTTCAGCTCACGAGTTCTGTGAGCTCGAGCGCCGGCCGCGCTGTTTACAAGAAACCCATGAAGCTGTATGAAGGTAAGCCTCGGAAATCCGTGTCTTTTTCGACGAACTTCTCGTTTTCTATTTCCAACGGCGGTGGGGATGGATTGGCGATTGTAGTGGTTCCAATGGGTTTTAATCTTAGCCTATTTGGTAACGGCTCTTTTGGGCTTTCTCTGCGAAATGGTGAAAGTAAATTTAAAGTTGTTGCTGTTAAATTTGATGCATTGAGTGATGGAAAAGTTCATGTTGGAATTGATGTGGGTAGTTCTGTTTCTGCTAAAGTAAGCAATGTTTCTGCTAAGAATTTGGGTCCAAGTAGTGGGAATAAAACGCAAGGTTGGATCGATTACGAAGCGGGTTCGAATCGGTTGGAAGTTAGGCTGAGTAAATTCGGTGGTTCGAAGCCTGTTGATCCTCTGCTGTGGTATCCGATTGATTTGTCGAAAATGTGGGGAGATAAGGAAGTGTTTGTGGCATTGAGTGCAATGAGTAGGAATTCGTCTCAGACATGTTCTGTGTACTCTTGGAGCTTTGAGCAAAGGCATGTGCCTCACTGGATGCACTCGCAGCCGCTAGATCCCAAGGCCGTTGCTAAGAACTCGAAGGCGGAGGCGTTGGAAAAGAAGAAGAATTGTACAGAAAGGGCTTTCGGAGCAATGGTTTTCGGTGTTGCTTGTGGAGCATTGGCGTCGTTTGTTGGACTGTATCTGTGGACCGTCCTTGGCAATAGGCGTCCGGTGGTGCCGGAGGAGTATGCTGAGAAGTCGAAAGAGTTTGAGTACGAGAAAATGAAAGTAGTTGCAGATAATAAAACCATCGAAGATGGAAAGCAGTAGATGCTTGAATGTTGGAAGGCTATTGTTTGTTGTGTTGTAAATCAATCTTGTATTGTTACCTAGTATTTTCGGGTTGTCCTTACTTGTACTAGTTGTAGTAAATGTTGCAGTCAATTGTCAAAATTTAGTAGGTTTTGCTACTTATTTTGTCCATTGTTGAAGCACCGGGATTCCAGTTTAGAACCCAAGAAATCGAAACTTAGCATGGTTTTCCCCAGCCTTTTAAGTTTAACTGCAATTCACCATAAATTCGGGTAAACTGCTCAAATTGTTCGCAAATTCTTAGTGTAAAATCCAAATTTTCTGCCTTGTTTAAAACTTTCTTTTTCATTTGTAAGTGAGAGATCTTAGGTTCGATTCTCGTTAAAGACGAATTTGAACCACATTTTTCCAGGACTGTTGTGAGGTTGAGCCGCCTCCTCCTCCTTAGTGTTAGATAATATCGTTTGTTAAAAAAAAACTTTCGTACCAGATGCACTTTTGAACACTCTTTGAAGGCTCGTATCTTTCTCTTTGAATCTCGACCCTCTACATTTAGCATTTGTCAAACATTTTTCTTTTGGTAGGTTTGATTTGTTAAGAATGGCATACTTAATCCCCGAGAGCATAAACCCATAAATCATACGCAACACATGAACAAGAAACAGGGTCTTTTCTCTCTCTCTCTTCACATGACAAGATGGAACAGTATACGATTCTAAAGAGAATTTACCAAATAACAAATTTTCTATCTCTCCTTTCACATTACGAATGAAGCGGTATATGATTGAAAAGGGAATTTACTAAATAACAAATAAGGCGCAGTAAATTTCTTAGATTCATACAAGAAATAATGCTTGTACTTTGCGAAAGAACATGCTAGTACTGAAGAGAAGATTCACATCACCATATAGAAAATTTCGGATTACTCAAGTACATATAACAAAGAGAAATTAAACGGAGATAATAGGTTTGGGTTTTAACGATATTAAGACCTATAACTACAAGGAACTGCCCGTCGCATTGTCATACTCCAGCAACTGGAAGTTGCGGCATTTCAAACCACATTACATCTCCTCCTGAGCTTCCTCCTCCTCGTCCTCATAGTATTCATCCTCCTCAGCTGTGGCATCCTGGTACTGCTGATACTCTGAAACCAGGTCATTCATGTTGCTTTCAGCTTCTGTGAACTCCATCTCATCCATGCCTTCACCAGTGTACCAATGCAAGAAAGCCTTCCTCCTGAACATAGCAGTGAACTGCTCACTCACACGGCGGAACATCTCCTGAATTGAGGTCGAGTTTCCAATGAAGGTGGATGCCATTTGCAAGCCGGTGGGAGGGATGTCACAGACAGTTGACTTGACATTGTGGGGAATCCATTCCACAAAGTAAGAGGAGTTCTTGTTCTGGACATTGATCATCTGTTCATCAACCTCCTTAGTGCTCATTTTACCCCTGAACATGGCAGAGGCGGTCAGATACCGACCATGACGAGGGTCAGCTGCGCACATCATGTTCTTCGAATCCCACATTTGCTGTGTGAGCTCAGGCACTGTGAGAGATCTATACTGCTGTGAACCACGTGATGTCAAAGGAGCAAAACCCACCATGAAGAAGTGGAGACGAGGGAAAGGGATGAGATTGACAGCAAGCTTTCGAAGGTCAGAGTTCAACTGACCAGGGAACCTCAAACAGCATGTTACACCAGACATAGTTGCAGAAATCAAATGGTTCAAATCTCCAACTGCATAAACATTACAATCAGCATACTGTATCCAAAAACAAATCAAAATCAACTTATTGAGTACAATGAACTGAGAGAAACTTACAGCTTGGGGTGCTGAGCTTGAGTGTGCGGAAGCAAATGTCATAAAGAGCTTCATTATCAAGGACCATACACTCATCTGCGTTCTCAACAAGCTGGTGGACAGACAGGGTTGCATTATAGGGCTCAACAACTGTGTCTGAGACCTTTGGGGAGGGGAAGACCGAGAAAGTGAGCATCATCCGATCTGGGTATTCCTCTCTGATCTTTGAAATCAACAGAGTACCCATGCCAGACCCAGTACCTCCTCCTAGAGAATGACAGACCTGAAACCCTGCAATTCCAAAGAAAACCAACCTGAATTACATGAACCAATAAACCAAAACAAATGAAGTAATAGGTCACTGTGGAAACGTATCAAATACCTTGCAGGCAATTAAGAACAAAGCAAAAGAAATAGGTACATGTCACTGAGGAAATTTATCAAACACCTCACAGGCAATCACAACACCCCATGGACAAAGAAAACCAAACAAACAAAACGATAACAAAAAACACTCAAGAAATTTATCAAACACCTCGCAGGCAATCACAGCACTCCATGGACACATAAAACCAAACAACCGAGACAATAACAATACACTCAGGAAATTTATCAAACACCTAGCAGGAAATCACGATTCTCTATAGACACCTGTAACAATACACTCAGGAACTTAATCAAACACCTTCCGAGCAATCACAATTCTCCATTGACACATTAAACAAAACAAAAGAAATAATAGCAGGACATCAGAAATATCATCGAACACCTTACAGGCAATCATAATTCCACACGAAAACGTAAAACAAAACTCAATAAACAAATAAAAGATCAGGAAATTAGACAAATACCTTGCAGGCAATCACAATTCTCAGCCTCCTTGCGAACCACATCGAGAACAGAATCGATCAACTCCGCGCCCTCGGTGTAGTGACCCTTCGCCCAGTTGTTTCCGGCACCAGACTGGCCGAAAACGAAGTTATCAGGCCTGAAGATCTGACCGTAGGGTCCAGATCTGACGCTGTCCATGGTCCCAGGCTCAAGGTCCATGAGCACAGCCCTCGGCACGTACCTCCCGCAACTGGCTTCGTTGTAGTAAACATTGATCCTCTCAAGCTGGAGCTCCGCGTCTCCCTCGTACCTTCCGGTGCCGTCGATGCCGTGCTCGGCGCAGACCACCTCCCAGAACTTGGCGCCGATCTGGTTGCCGCACTGGCCTCCCTGGATATGAAGAATCTCACGCATTTTTTGGTTGAAAAGGGGATGAAAAGTTGGAAAGGGGGGTTAGGGTTAGGGTTTGGGGTCTCTCTGAGAAAATCGCAGAGAGAGAGAGACGGATGAGAGAGAGGTGTGGGGACGGAGAGAGAGGATTTTATAGAAAAGTAGGTTTTTTTGGGTCGTAACGGTTGGATTTGAATGGAGAAGCAGGATTTTTTGTTTGAATGGGTTGGAGCTGAGTTGTGATATTTTTTTAAGGGATTGGAAATGGACGGCTCAGATTGGTTTGGAGCCTCTGTTTGAAATTCAAATTTCAAATTACAGCTGGATACCAGTAATTTGGCTCCCTTTTTTTAAATTTGGGAATAAACAGATACAATTTTTAAAACACAATCTGGCATTAAAAATGAACCTCTGACAAAAAGAAAAGAACTTTCCTCCAATGAAATGTTACTAAAAAAAGAAAATTAAAACACATGGCATGTCAATCATTGTTTAAAATATTAGTATCGATAGAAATATAGATATTAATTACTATTGATAGAAATGATGAAAATTTGCTCAAAAACATGAAAATTTAAAAATATTTTTTTAGGGAATGTCATATGAAGGCAATTGATACTGATATCGAAATATCTATCTATATTTCTACAAATTTGCATATCGATATTTCTACCGATACATATATTTTAAATGTTGCATAAATATTAATTATTAAAAAGGAAAAATCAAAACCCTAACCAATTCATCGTCTCCATCGAGCAATTCTTTCTTTTTCTCTCTTTGTAAACATGTTTTCATATGCCATGGCTACCGTTGTTGCACCCCCATCCACTTTTCTCTAGTCATCCTAACCTCTTCCCCTCCCTTCTCTTCATCGTCTTGACACCACATGGTTTATGGAGCACTAATTCGATTAATAATTGGTACGAGTTCAATCAATTATATTCAACAAAATAAACATCAAATGATTTTGTTTACCCCCATTTAAATGTGTCAATCTTGTTGATGATATGATGATGATGATGTTGCATATTAACAACCCCAAATACATTAGAGGGTAGGACTTTGGTTTAAACGTACCAATACATATTATCCTTAATTTTTTAGGAAAACTAATGAAAAATGTTTGAAAACTTTGAGTTTTAACGATAAGGACAAAATAAAGGGTAAAGTGAATAGTACTATGATAGACTTTTTAGTGTAAAAATGTGTTTTTTTTTTTGTTAAAATGAATAGTATCATGAGCTTTTCGTTAAAGTTTCTTAATTTTTTATGCAATTTTTGAAAGTTGAAACCCATGCTATACTCGATACACTTTGGTCAGCTCAGCCACGTGCTGGTTTTTCTTTACGCTCTTTATGAGCTCTTTACGAGTATATCGTAAACGTGAACCTCCAAAATTTTCCCTATGTGGTTAGCGAACATATGGTTGACTAGCGGCTAACACGTAAGCCCCGTGTTCTTGAGCCCAAAAGGCATCACGTTCCAGCAGCAGTAAAGTCCTCGGTCGATTATGAAAGTTGTATTGTCCCAGTCGGCTGGATGCATGCAAATCTAGTTGTAACCAAAGAAAAGCATCCAGAAAAGTTAAAAGTTCGTAACCTGCCGTGCCATCCACGATTCGGTCGATCCGAGGACGAGAAAAATTGTCCTTCAGGCATGCCTCATTCACGTGCGTATAAATTGTACACATGCACCACTTGGTCAGTTTTTCGACCTTTGTTGCCTTCTTGTCCATCACAACGTTTGCTACTAATCTTGGGTAATCCACATATCTGATAAATTCGATGTTGAGTAGTTTGTCCACCTCCACCTTTATGGCTTCATAACGCTAGAGGTCATAGGATCTTTGTTTTTGCTGGACAGGTCTGTAGTGCTGGTCGAGGCTGAGTTTATGTGAGATGATGTTTGGATCCATTCCTGGCAAGTATGCGTAAGACCAAGCGAAGACGCCTGCGCGGGCCCTAAAAATTTTATACCAGTTATGCTCGAACTTCCGCAGCTGGTTTTATGCCATTCTAAACAGTCATGGTCGGACATTCCTCTAACGGTATAAAAATCTCTAACTTTTCCATAGGCTGAGGGTGTTCTCAACCTTCGTCATCCTTCGGATATGGCTGCAGCTGACTCTCCAAGATTAGCCCTTGGTGGGCTAGAGATAGAACTAAAATGAAATGGACTCAAGATTTAAGTGGTTCACACCTCAAAATTGGGCTACATCCATTGTGTTGCTCGAATTATATTGATTTCAAAGGTTACAAACAAGCGCTCGGCTAAGACTAGAATTCTATCTAGCTTTAGTTGTCTAACATCCTTACAAAAGGTCCTCCATGAACCCAGAGAGCCTTAAGCTCACCTGATCTTTACTTTTAGGCATATAATGCGTCTCTTACATCGATCAACGTGCTAACAACTTTTTAATCATTAGTTGATATTCGACAATGAAGTTATGTTTGCTTCGTCGAGATTGCACACCCTTTTAGGTCATTGTGTGTTGGGCGATCTACTCGATCTTGATTAATTAACCATGTCAATCCGAGCAACAAGCTAACCTCCTTTGTATCCCATTCTAGGATTTTGCTTTTGATTGTTGATTGACACATACCTAATTAGCGTCTGAGTAAGATTGCTCCTAAAACTTTGCACAATAGAATTGTTAGTCTTCTTACATCTCCTTGACAGTCAAAAAAGCACTTTATGTTGCATGGTCGACTAAATTAGTGATATGATTAGCATAATGAGTTAATGAAAATTACCGAATTTAATTTCTATGGCTCACTTTGCTTGATCCCTAAGCTCTGGACATTAAGATGCGTTCAACGGATCCAATTCCAATGCAGGGAGGTCTTGCAGAAAAGCTTAAAACCTCTCGTTCTCATTACTTTCTCAATATGAAAAAGAAATTAAAATGAAATGGTCATCTTATTCAAAACTGCAAATCGATTGTGGAATCCTTCTCTCCCACTTCACACTTTGGAACGCACCATTGGAGAGGCTCCAAACAAGCCCTACTTCAAACTTATAAAGTTTACCAAACTACTTCAATTTGGCGAACACGAGATCTCAGTAACTTGAAATTATCTTCAATTCCCTCCATGGGAACTTGCAGAAAGATAACGCAGATTTAAGTAGCATCATTGATCCACAACACACACAAAAAGAAAGACATAATTTATCATTGAAATAAAAACAAATTGGAAAAAAAAAAAAAAAAAAAAAAAAAAGGGTAAATTACACCCTATCACTTTAGGTTTGTGGTCCATTTCAATTCCTTACAACATCTTTAAAACATTTCACTTTCATACCTCAAGTACTATTTTATTTCAATATAATATCTCCTTTACATTTTCCATTCAATTGATTTGTTAAGTGCTGACGTGGCTACCAAAAATTTTTTTATTTTTTTTTAAAACCTTAATCTTCTAAATTAAAAAAAAATAAAAATAAAAAAAAATAAAAAAAAAATAAAAAACACCAAAAACAAGAGTTGAACCTGCAACCCCCCTACCCACCCAACCTAAAGAAGAAGAAAAGGAGAGGAAAAGAAAGAAAAAAAAACCTATCTTCATCTTCCTCGACTCCCCTTCTTTGCAACCCACCCTTTTCTTCCCCCTCTCATCTTCCCCAACCCACCGTGCACCCATCCTCCACTTCCTCCTCCGCACCCACTACCTGCAACCCAGATCCCATCTTCCCCAATAAGGATCGGGGTGTGTAGAGGTGGGAAGAGGATGCGTGCAAGGGTGGGTGTGCTAAGTTTTTTTATTTCTGGGTTGCAGGTTGGCCTCGAGTTGGGGAAGGGGAAGGGGAAGATGGGTGCGAAGATGAGGTAAAGGATGGGTGTGAAGGAGGTGGTGGAGGATGGGTGCAGACGGATGGAAGACGATGAGGCTCCGACCCAGGATCTGGGTTTCGCAAGGGGGGGGGGGAATATAGGATTTGAATTTCGAGATATAGGATCTGAATTTCATGTTGGGGCGGGGGGGGGGGAGGGACACGGCATCTGCGTTTCGCAGGGGGGAGGGGATACGAGATCTGCGTTTCTTGGGGGGGGGAATATAGGATATGTGTTTCGTGGCGGGAGGGGGGGGTTTGGGGTGAGGTTAGGGGTTGGGGGTTGGGGGGATTCGGGTTTTTTCTTCTTGTTCAAAGTTCTGGGGGTGGGGTGATGAGATTTGGATTTTCTAACCTTTTAAAAAAAAAAAAAATTAATTTAGAAGATCATTACGAATAGGAATGAAACGGCTATAGCTCCTATATGAACTACTGGGAAGATCATTATGAAGCGCACATCTGGCAATCACGTGGCATAAAATGTGGCAGTCACGTCAGCACTTAACAGATCAATGGATGGAAAATGTAACGGATGTATTATATTGAAATAAAATAGTACTTGAGGAATGAAAGTAAAATGTTTTAAATATTGTAAGGAATTGAAATTGATCCCAAATCTGAGATGGTAAAATGTAATTTACCCAAAAAAAAGTATCTCAGAATAAAACCGATGCTCCTCTTTCCAATATATTTTCAAATATTATCAAGAAAAAAAATAACGTAAAAGATTAATGATAAATATAAAAATTAATCAGGCTTAAATTGAAGAAGATGAACAAGAAAAGAACGAGGGACTATTGGAGGTTCTGCGAAGACGAGAGAGAAGGAGGGATTTCGGAAAATATTTATAAGGGTGTGAAAGTGACCGGACTTAACCCTAACCACCTGTTTGGCAAGTGAGATAACTCAGTCCCTGGGCCAGGGCAGTCACGCTCGCAACCGCTATAGGCTTAAGCTAATTTTCTTGCGGGCCTGGGCCTGGGCGATCACTAACATGTTCCCCGCAAGCCTCCGGCCCATTTAAATATGTCAGTTTTGATATTTGGGCCCGTTTGAGAATACTAAGTACGAAACATTTCTGCTCAAAAATGCTTCAGGCCTAAAACAATACAAGAAGAATTGCTTGAATAAGCCTAAAGCAATTCTACGATCCGTACTTGCTTTCAAGGCTTTAAGCCGAACGATATCGAGAATCGCAAGGCATTCCTAAGAAAGCAATAAGGGCTCGTGTTATTTTTTTATCTCCTCTTAAAATGATCAGCTGGTAACTTTGCCACAACAGTCCATCATTTCGAAGATCGATAATATTCACAGAGGCATTTCAACCTCTTTCTGGGCATCCTTGTGCGATTCACCAGCGCCAGGAATAGTACCCAAGACATGTCATGTGGAATACGGACCTGAAATTCATTACCAACCCCATGGTCCCTCGTGGTAGTTCAATAAGGGCTCATTTGGGTATTGTGAATGTAGGCTCTAACTTTAATTTACAATTTATGCTCCTAAGTGTTTTTTTTCAAGTGTGCTATTATAAAAAAAAACAAGTTAACTTTTTGTTAAAACATAGTGCTTCCTTAAAAATGAATTTAAAAGAGCATTATAAAGAAGCATATAACAAAAGCTTTTTTATCGAACATACAATTAAAACACTTTTGATGGTCAAAAACATTTTGAACCCTCTAAATAACAATCTCAAACATTTCAACCTCATTTGCTAAAGCAACTTTATACTAAAATGGCCCGTTTAAATGTTACACAGATTGGCAAATGACTTATACCTCAGTTAATTAAGGAGCATTTGCGCATGCATATGAAGTCCTCCATGCATCTAAAGTCCTCTTGGAAAAATTAAAATGGTGGACAGATTGTATCCACATGTCCATCACCAAAAACCAGCCACTCGTTCCAGACTGCAGAGTGTTCATTTCCCAACTTTCTTCCCAAGAAATATTTATTAAAAAATTGGAAAATTAAAAGAACAACCGCCTTCCCAAGCAAAACATACCTATATATACAAAGCAAGAACAATCCACAGCAAAACCCACACCTCCCAGCAAGCACCATTTTTTACAGGCCACTTTCAAGGACCAAATCCAAATTAAAGAAACCCAGCTACCACCAAACTCGAATATCTCAAAAATGGGCATGGTTTTTGGAAAGATATGCGTGGAAACCCCAAAATACAAAGTCCTCCACTCCACCGCCCTCTACGAAATCCGGCAATACCCGCCTTCAGTGGTAGCCCAGTTCACCTACGATCCGTCAGACCTCAAGGGCGACAAAGATGGCGGCTTTGCCATTCTGGCCAATTACATCGGCGCGTTGGGAAACCCCCAGAACACCAAACCCGAGAAAATCGCCATGACGGCTCCGGTCATAACCAAAACCCAAAACGCAGAAGGCGAAAAGATCGCCATGACGGCTCCGGTCGTGACGAGGGAGGAGAAGGGGAGGAAGACGGTGACGATGGAGTTTTTGCTGCCGGCGAAGTATGGGAAGGCGGAGGAGGCCCCGAAGCCGGTGGACGAGAGGGTGGTGATTACGGAGGAGGGGGAGAGGAAGTATGGGGTGGTGGGATTCACGGGAGTGGCGACGGAGAAGGTGGTGGCGGAGAAGGTGGAGAAGTTGAAGGAGAGTTTGGAGAAAGATGGGTATAAGATTATTGGGGATCATCTGCTGGCTAGGTATAATCCGCCATGGACTTTGCCTCCGTTCAGGACCAATGAGGTTATGATTCCGATCGAGTGATGTTTTAGATTTTGTTCAACTGTTTGTAATACGATGATCTGTTTTTTTTGTTTTTGTTTTTGTTAAGTATTAATAAAACATGTATTTTGTACTGTAGACTATTTTTTATGCTGGTTTGCAATGATACTTACGTTTACTTATCCGTACCCGGGCGATGACCGATTGTAAAAGAAAGGAAGAAGTAATGAATCGAGGAAGGGAAAGAAAGATATGAACTAATCACTTAGTTGATAACTTGATTCTTTTTTTTCAATTTTTAAGTGTTTGATTACGAAGAGTCACTTGTAAGTGAGAGGTTTGACGTTCGATTCTCATCAAATGTAAGTTTGAACTACGTTATTGTTAGTCCATTATGAGATTAAACATTTCATCCTCTTAATGTAAATAATATCATTTGTTTAGAAAAAAAGTGTTTGATTACAAAGAGAAATTAAGAATCAAAATAGTTTCAATATCCTTAGCTTAGTAGATGCAACGAAGTTAGGAATCATAATAAGAACAATACTTGGCTATTGAAAATTCAAATGTCACTCTTACTTTCACCCAATCAGATTTGAACACGTGTCCAACTTGTGTTTATAATTTCAATTATTTGGACACTGTCCAAATCTGATTGGATAGTAATTAAATCCAACCTTTTTATTCAATAACATGGAAGAAAAAGAAAAAAGAAACATTAAGGAACGACTAGTCTACCTCTAGCGATTTCAGAGCAATTATCAGAAACAATTTGAACTAAATAGAGAAGAGGCTCAACAAGCTCTTGAAAATTCATCTTGCTATTATACCTAACTTAGCTAACCCGTCAGCTACAACATTACTTTCTCTATAAGCATGCTACAAATTCCAACTCTAGTTTTCTTTGATCAAAGTTCAGCACTCTGAGACAAGATCATAAACAGAATGATTAAGGCTAAGAGAATCAGGAATGAGAGAGACCAGAATTCAACTTCTTAATTTACACATAAAATTGTTAAACTTTATATATTTCATAAACAACTAAAAACACTAACCTGAAAGAATCCATAAATAGTAAAGATGAATCATCTTGATAGAACGGTGAAAAATAAACTTAACCATGAATAGACTTCTCCTTCACTAGAAATCATATTAAGTACTGATAGTGCTCTGTCCGTAGCAATATTGATCTGACGGTTGTGACTTGGAAGGGTTCGAGTTGCATCAACAACCAGATCTTTACCCTTGTTTAATTGACACTATCAAATGTCACACACTTTGTTGGTGATATATATACTAAATATTTGTTTTTTTAATTTTTTATGAGGAGTTATTTGTTTCTAACAGATTGGCAGGCATCCCAAAAAAATACAAGTTGACAGGTAGGAAAGAGAGAGAGAGAGAGAGAGAGAGAGAGAGAGAGAGAGAGAGAGCCAGTTGGGAGGGTATTGAAATTCAGAAAAAAATAAAAATAAATACTTGTCTGTACAAAATTATTTTGATGTGCACATTATTTTCTTTTCTAATATTTTCCTTTAGTTTTGTATTAAAATGTATAAAATTAATTTTATTAGTTTTTAGTTGACCAACAGTGTTTTATTGATAATCAATCATGTCATCTGCTCATACTGACACATAAATTTGTGACACCATGTGACTTGATGACAATATCAACGTCACAGTCAATCCAAATTAGCTCTTATTTTCCCACACTAATAATAGTCCTGACCCATAATCAATCCAAACCCAGCAACCAAAAATCCCTTACCGATCGGCCAAGCATACCTTATTCGAACATTTCTTGACCGCTGGTTCATTCCCAAGGCAAAGCTAGCCAAAAAGCCATAGGAGAAAGGTCTCATACACAAACGGATTAAATGGACTAGATTATCTTCATTTTTAATATTTCCGGTTGAACATATAGCTTCTTATTATGCCCATTAATCCTAGCTCCGCCATTGGTCGCATCGAAAAGTATGTTTGCAAATACTAATGTTGTACTTACGGGATCAAATATTGCAACTGAGCTCGAAGTTGACCTTAAAGGCAATGATAGAGTTATTCATGCCTCAAAGGACTTGTGAAATGGAATGAAGGGAGGGATTCTATGGAATTTCACTCTCCTTTATGCAAATCATAATTTGACAAGTATGCATAACTAACTCAAAAAAAATCTCTATACATCTGTGTCAGACTATGATTGGCAGACAGTCAGAATAGGCTAAAAAGCAGGGAAAATGACACGAAATTGGATTCCCCTCTTCTAAATACTACAACATGTAAGTTTATATGATTCGACCAAAATATAGGCAATCAAATGTATGCAATGAGAACCCAATCCCTACTACTTTGTTTCAGTGATCGACCTAGAACTTCAATGTTTGAGGGTATTCGGTCGAAACCCCAGTCACCAACATCAATTGGGCAAGGGAAACTTACCTATCACCGGGTGTATACCCGTTCTCTATCTACTATCTCCTTACCCGATCATCCCGTGACATGAAAGTTTTTCTCCAACTCTACAAGTTATCTTGGTAACCTGTTCTGAATCCCATCTTTTGTGAACGAACAAAACAGATGACAAGAGAATGCGAAAAACTTAAAAAAACTGATATACAGTTGAGTAACTCTGTAATGTACAACAATAAAGCCATGGATCAAAAACACACCCACATCCTGAATTTGTATTTGGGACTCAAACCCAAGAACGAAAACAGGATGTAACTAGCCGAAAATTCGTAACAGATTACAAAGAGACATAACTTACATAACGCATTTCACCCGGAGATCAGCTTCACTACAATAGTTACGATGTTCAAAATTATGAGCGGAAATCTGAAGAACTGGCATGCGTGTATAAATCCTATGATCTGCCCCTTAAGCGTGGTTCTCCGCTCTCCTTGAAATTGTAGCAAGGTCCACCCTCTAGGACCGAGAAAACGATCTTCGTTCAGTATTGCAAACGCATTTACAAGAAGCAAGAAGCCTTGGAATAAAGTCCACAGACCCATTTTCTGCACAACACAGGTTGAAAATCTCAGTTTCTAAACATCACAATCTTACATGGAAGGCATGTTTGGAGGTGCTTTTGAAATTGTTAAGGGGTTGATCGGGACACCATATGGAACCGTTTAAAAAGCGCTTTCTAAATACGTTTAGATTTAGCAGAAAAAAAACTTAAAATCGCTTACGGGACAGAAAATCTCTTTCAGAAGAAGCACCCGTGCTTGTGAAAGAAATACTTTTCGCAAAAACACTTATTAGCGGGTAGGAAACAATTCCAACACCGCTTACGGTTAAAAAGCACTTATGAACATAACTGTAAAAGCACTTATCATCAATTGTTGAATTATCAGTCAAAACTTCAATTTCTTAAGCGCATAGAAAATTCAGTAAAAACTCCAAAGGCCTAAAAATATAATGAAAATTCAAGCGAAAACAGGAAACTGATCAGAACTGAAAAAAGACATGTTCTTTCTTATGTTAACATAATCGAATCCGTCCTAGGAAGAACAAGATGAAAAGAAATCTTACCGGCGATTACTTGTTCCAGACAACAAGTCGTCTCTCGGTCGAAAGCGTTCGCCTTGTTTTCAACGAAACGAAACAACAGGAAAGACTGAAAGTCCTCGCAAATCAAGGATTTTAGCACTACCACCACGTCAGAATCCTCCTAATATACTTTTCATCCGACGGTCAGGAATCCTCCACGTGTCACCTTAGACTTACTCACTTTGTTCTGACCCGACCCGGATGTTCGAGTCCAATATATGACGACGACCCGATAAAATTTACAGAGGGACTGAGTAAGGTTTTGCTGACGGACATGGATAAACCCTAACACTCAGCTCAAACCATGGCTTCCTTTCACCTCTCTCTCCCACTTGTCATAAGCCCCAGAAGCGTAATTTCGAATTGGGTGGCTTTAGAATCTTTAAAGTTGAAAGCTTTCAATCCACAGTTTTTGCTACTTAAACCCCCCAAATCGCACAGTCTAAACCCACCCAGAGCTTCCACCAATGGCGCCGACAACGGAAGCATTGAACCCAGCAAACCCACTCGCCGCGGCAGGAAAAAGGGGCCAACTTCTTCTTCTTCGGAAGCACCGAAAAAACCCAAGCGTTCGAAGAAATCCGAGACTGTGAACGGCGCCGTCGAACCCGAACTCGTAATCCAACCCGAAAACCCGGATTCGGAACTCGAGGATTACGACGACGGCATAGATTTCCCGTACGATGACCCGCCTCTGGTTTGCTGCTTCGGCGCCGCGCAGAAGGAGTTCGTACCGACGGTTCGGGTCTCCGACAACCGGATGCACCCGGATATATACTCGCAGTGGAAAATGCTTCAGTGGGACCCGCCGGAGTTTGTGAGAGCCCCCGGCGGGTCGCCCTCCAATGTGGCGATTTCGCACGTGCGGCTCGGCGGGAGGGCGGCGTTTATGGGGAAGGTCGGGGAGGACGATTTTGGGGATGAGCTGGTGCTGACGATGAACAAGGAGAGGGTTCAGACGCGCGCGGTGAGGTTCGATTCGAGTGCGAAGACAGCGATGACTTATATGAAGATTAAGTTTGACGATGAGAGGATGTGGGCGGAGACGGTGAAGGAGTCCGCCGAGGACTCGCTGCTCTGCTCCGAGCTCAACCTCGCCGTGCTCAAAGAGGTATTGTCTATAGTGTTTACGTTGTATTTGCGTAAGGGCGATTTTGCTTTTAGTAGAAACATGGCGGAAGTTTCATAAACATCGAAGTGCTTTCTGAAGAAACATTTGAAAATGCTTTCTTGAAAAACACCTAGGAAGTGCTCCTTGAATAAGCACTTCGGAAGTAGGAAGTGCATTTCGAAGAAGCACGGTAGGAAGTGCATTTTGAAGAAGCACCTAGGAAGTGCTTCTTGGAAAAACACTTTGGAAGTAGTAAGTGCTTCTCAAAGAAGCACCTAGGAAGTGCATTTTGAAGAAGCGCCTAGGAAATGCATCATGAAGAAGCACCTAGGAAGTGCTTCTCCAAAAAATGCTTTTAAATTTTTCTACAAATTGATGTTAGAACCGCCTTTGATTGTCTGCAAGGGCTAAAGCTTTTGATTGTGGGAAAATGTTAGCCCTTTTGGAGCACTCTCAAACAGGCTAAAGATGTCTATACAAAGCAAGTAGGTTGGGTTTTGGTATTACAGTTAATTGAGAGTGCAGCAATCGTTTGTTTGAGCACATCGTTCACCATGAGGAAGTGATTTCCATACTTTCGTATTGTTGTTTGGTTTCAATTCTTAAGTTGTTCGTTCTGCACTCTTATATTGTTTGTTTCGTATGAATTCTTATGTTGTTGGAAAGGGATGAGTTCATTATTATAATACGTTTTGATGTCTTAACGCAGGCCAGAATGTTCCACTTCACTTCAGAAGTTTTGACATCTCCCTCAATGCGACCAACCCTTTTCAGAGCAATGTCCTATTCCAAAAATTTGGGGGGCTTGTGTTTTTTGATTTGAACTTACCATTGCCTCTGTGGAAATCGCGTGACGAAACAAGGAAGTACATCGATAGAGCCTGGAACCAAGCTGATATAATCGAGGTTTCGAGGCAGGAATTGGAATTTCTTCTTGATGAAGACTACTACGTGAGGAAGAGGAATTCCAGGCCCCAGTACTATGCTGAGGAATTTGAGCAAACCAAGAAGCATAGAGATTATTACCATTACACGCCCGAAGAAATATCTCCATTATGGCACGAGGGACTTAAGTTTCTCTTTGTGACGGATGGAACGCTTCGAATTCATTACTATTCCCCTTCGTTTCACGGTGTTGTGATTGGAACGGAAGATGTGCTCATAACCCCATTCACTTGTGATAGGACTGGTTCTGGTGACGCTGTTGTGGCTGCAATTATGAGAAAGCTGACCACTCACCCTGAGATGTATGAAGACCAAGATGTTTTGGAAAGGCAGCTTCGATTTGCAGTTGCTGCGGGAATAATATCGCAGTGGACGATCGGTGCTGTTAGAGGTTTTCCTACGGAAAGCGCAACTCAAAATCTGAAGGAGCAGGTTTATGTGCCTTCGATGTGGTAGTAGTGTAGATCCTAGGTCTCAAATGTTGTTCAGAAATTGTTCATTGTATTGTATGATCTCTTGAGTGCGGAAAATTTTGTCTATTTAGGAAGAACAGGTGAGAAGAAAGATTGTATCCAATGTACTTGCAATTTTAGCAGAAACCAAATGCAGATACTAACATTAATTTAGGGTTTAGGGTTTATCCTTGTATTGTATTGTATAACGAACCCAAGCTAAAGAAGCCCCCATCTAATCAAGGAGAAAGTACTAGACTCTCGGATCACGTCAATTGTAAGACAACTCTCACAAAAACGGAAAACTCTTGTGTTTTGGTCGCATTGGCTTTGAATTGAGGGAGCCCGTACAATAATCACAAAAGAAAGCAGTAATTCATGTGCCGGAAAAGACTCGATGCCCGTTGAGGCATTCTAGGGAATAGTCGCCATACAGCCGGAGTCACCCACAAACTATGGGCGAGGGCTGCTGTGAGGCCGAGAGGAATAATTCGAATTTGAAACCTCCGCTTTCATTATTAGGGAAAAAAGTACCGTTAGACCAAGAGCTACTTGATCTCCAAGAAATCGCTTGCAGGACAACGACAAGCGAGAAATCTGCTTGAAATGTATGAAACTTCTTTCTATTATAGGTTATGTACGAAAAATTACATTCATATTCATCGCGAAGCTCTCTTTTTTTAGACTAAATCGAAGAAAGAATAATTGAATCAATGAATTGCTATGGCAGCTCCATTTCTGACAACGGCAAGAGGTCTCTATGCCAATCAAACTACTCGAGCTCCACCTTCCCTGCAATCTCAAATGCCTTCTCAATCTGATTTCATCATAAACCGAAACTTGCATTGCAAATCACAAGCGAACCCATAAAAACTTCTCGACCATGCATAGCAAGCACAGTTTCTGAGACCGAGCGAAAAAGCACTTCTTTCAAAAGCCCACCATTTCAGCTGCCATTTTGAGCTATGGTAATGTGACATTGTGTAGTATTTTCTACAGCATGAGCTAGCCACATTCATTCTCCATCCTACTGCCTTATCTTTGTGACAAAACACTCATACTTCTTCTCTCATCAGACTTCACGCTAGACATTCGCTCCTGCATCTTGTTACAGATGCAACCAGGAAAGGGATTTGCATAGAAGTTCTCCTCCAACCTTGGTGACTCTCCGATCTGTCTAGCATATGGTGCTCCGAGCCTGTCAGAATGCAGATTTTTAACCGAAGACGAAAAATTTTCCCATGATATTGCTCCCTTATCCAACTGATCGACAAGTTGAACAAAATTTTGTCTGAAATGGAATTCATAAACTGTCAGAAAAATTTTCTCGTGTCTGAAATGGAATACGAAATGCACGGTACAAGAGCGAACCTGTCAGGGTTGATAGTCTTCCGAAATCCTTCAAACCTCCTATGTCCATGCACTGTCTTTGCCATATTACCATCGTAAGTATAAACAAAGACATCACTCTCCATTGCTACTATATAATCCAAGGCTGCAAGGCGATTTTGGTATGGCTTGAAGGCCTCTAGCTCTTCTTCTGTTGCAAGCGTGTTGTGCGAGAAGACATTCGGATACTCAGCGCGAAAAGCAGACATGCTGTTGCTGCCATATATCTCGCCAGCGACAATGTAGATCGTAGTCGTCGAAGGGTATCCCATGGCTTTAAGGAATAGAGTAGCCTCTCTTGGTGAAAATGGGCATCCGCCTTGGAGCCTTCGTTCTTCACTATCGATCACTTTCTCCTTCCAATGTTTGACGCTGTACCTCATAACCCGAAGCTCCTCGGACTCCTCTGCTGTGAGGTTGTGGCTGCAGCCGGTGAAGGCAAGCATGTCCTTCTCATATCTGCAATCAAGAACATTTTCGTTACTTAGTTCCATTACCTCCAGAACAACATAATACACAACGAATCAATCAAACAACAAAAATACCTCAAATGAAGAGCAATATAAGGATTGCTGTTGTTCCTCAGTCTGTCAACCAAAACTCTCCCAAGATCCTCAATCTCCTTTGTATACTGGAGGGCCTCGTAATTTGCACGGCACCTCAGCTTTTGGATGGAGGATGCAAGTCCATTGTTAGCAAGTCGGGAATCCGTGTGTGTAAACTTTATAACCTTATGCTTCTTTAACAACGGGATCATCTCGCTTCTGTAGTATCTCGCCTGCAGACAAATCATCGTTAGATACATTTCGAAGAACCTAATCCATACACATTCGAAAATTTATTAACATGATCGCACCTTCGACCAAGAGACCGGAGCCTTCAGAAGAGGCTTCACGGCTGCATATTTGGTCGGCAAATACTCAATAATATCAATATCATCTTTCAATACTTTCATGAAGTGCCTCCAGTCAAATATATCTTTAAAATCACTGCAAATACAAATATACGAAATAATTAATCAACAAAACATAGTTAATTAGCCACTAATAATCCTATCCGACAACATCATTTGCACAGAAATCTTACCTTGGATCCGTCCAAAAAGACTTATGGTCCAGTAGTGGAAGAACCAGGGTAGCATTCATTATCTTTGCAACGGCTACCATATCACATATCTGCACCATCAATTAGGTTGTCATGTCAGCATCCAAAACGCGTCTATAATTTACTTTTTCGACGAGACGATATTGCAAAACGCTGCTCGAAATTACGGGGAAGGAGATTCGAGCGGGGGCGGGATTTGTAAAAAGATTATTACTTACCCCTGTTCTCATTTGATTCAATCCACCATTGGCATGGACAAGCAGATAACCATTCGTTTTCGATGCTGTTCCTGTTGGAAAAGAAATTATTGTTAAAAAATGGGATAAAAATTTATAAAAATTGACAAATTTGGGTAGGCAAATGCATGTAGACATACTTATTCGGTTCTTGGGTCGAGCTATGCATTTATCAAAATTGTCGCTGTTGGGTTTCCTCCAAATTTCTGGGGTCTGCAAACGAAAACAGATTAATGAATATTAATCACAGATTAATCACTGCATTAAATTCGTAATACAACGTAAAAGGGGACAAATGCAAAACGAGAAAGACGCGAATAAATAAGAAAAATCTGGCAATCAAATTAATCAACCATTGAAACCCCATTAGAGGTAAAAAGTAAGTTGGTTACTTGGTTAACGTAAAACGTTAATAGCAACAGAAAGATTCGACATTTTCTCATCACTTTTCTCCATTTTCTCGGAAACCAAACAAGTAGTGAAAAATAAAAAATACCCAGAATTTAAATAATTGAAGAATAAAAAAAATAAAAATTCTGGGAGAATTGATTGATTGGTGACTTACAGGCAACTGCTCGAGAAGTCGCTTGAACTTGGTGGAGGATTCGGTTTCCAACAACCTCTCCAAAACACGTTTCGGCATGGAGTTGGATTCCTGGTTCTCGGCGACGGCCCGCTGCGCCACCAACCAATCGTCTTTCACCGTCTTCAGAATCAAAAGCTGGCCTTCCGTCCTCTTCGCAGCGTCCCTAACCACCTCGACGTGGCTGCTCAAGAACGAGAACTTCACGAACAAGGAGATAACCGCCAACAAAAGCAGCGCCCCGAAGATCTTGCGGCCCACGTTCCGCCCCGATCTCAGCGACTGCAACATCGCGACCGTCCATAGAAACCCGTCCTCGATCGGGAGAAGCCACGTGTCGGGCACGCAGAATAATAGCCGCCGACGGAGCAGGAGGTACTTCATCACGGGGTGGTGCGAATAATGGTTGTGGTTGTGGTGGAGGACGTGGTGGGGCCCGCATATTGTTCCGTCGAGGAGGCTGTCGTTTTCCACATCGTCGTCGTCGTCGAAGACAATGTTGTTTTCGGGAGGGAGGGTGCTCGTCGGGAGCCGCTCGCCGGCTTCCATGACTCCGTCAGCGACGCGTCGTCTGGTCTTCGTGGGCAGCGCGACCAGAGGCGGTTGTCTCGGACTACTGTTGGTTGAGCTGTTCGTACCACCGGACGACATCGCCGACCGGCACTAACGTTGTTAAACAAATATGCACCCGCTACGACACAGGATCCGATTCGGTTCTTAATTTCCTCGAAAAATCAACCCGAATCGAATGGAGTTCAGCACAGATGTTTATACTTGTACGAATTTTTCCATGTGCTTTTTGTAAAGTGGGATTCGTTTCTTCCTTTTCTCTCTCCAATGGCGGATCTGCGGGATGTTCTGATTTTTAGAGAGGCCGGTTTTTATCATTGCTGAAGCTTAAGGAGAACAACAAAATGACGACTTTGCCCCTGGTGAATCCCAGAAACGACTGAGTACGCCTATGGGTTTGTTTTTCGTTGCAGTTCTGTTTTCTGTTGGTAAAATAAAAAATGTTTTAAAGCAAAATGGTTAAAACCTTCTTCTTCTTCTTTTTGTTGAAAAGGTTGAAACTTTAAAACAGCAGGAGTTTTCTCCTAAAAATAAAAGTGAATTACCTTACCCTAAATTTTCTCTCTTTTTGTTGGGTGGCTGGAGTTGTGGACGAGTTAGGGTTGACAATTAAAATCCGATATGAATTTGTTTTTGGGTAAGTCATTACTTGGTTCATATTGTAGAAATTAGATTACAATTTATGTATTCTAATATAATTATGTGTTTTAACGTTAGGGGTTTGAAATTTAAAAAGGGAGCCACGACCTCCTTAGGGATCTGCCTTGTCTTCCTGGACCCATCTAAGCAACAGCTTAAGTCGCGATTCTCACTTAAACAAAAAATCGATAACTTTCACTTAAATTTTTTTTTTTTTTTTTTTGGTTCAATAAATTGGTAGAGACTTGTTGACACACCCCGACCGAAGTCAGGGCATGCTGCCCGTCACGTGAGAGTGACGTAACCATGTGCACAGTGCGGAAGCTAAGAAATAATAATAAAAGTACGAATAAATAAAAACCAAGCTATACACTAAGTAGATAATATACAAGTGCAAGCGTAAGTATGAAAAACAATATTCAGAGCACAGAAGACCTAGTGCAGTCCGGGGGAACAAACACTAAATAAACACACCCAAAGGTGGTCCTACTCTGGTGATAATCTATCAGATATGCCATGAATCCCTCGAGAGCCACCAACAGAGCTATCCAAACTAGAACCTGGAGGGGCGCAAAACATAAAGCGTGAGTGGGCAAAAACAAAGCTTTTCAAAACCGTTTCATTAACAAAGTTCTAACCCCTCGCCGTAAAACCCGTATAGTTTCCCAGGAAATAGAATATGCACATATATATAAAACATGCTCAGAAATATGCCATGTCAAATGCCTCTAAATAAAATGCAAGTACTCAGGTAATATCAATCAATGCCATATAATCTGTCAGCCGGAGTCACCTAACGTGACCTGTACAGCTTAATCTAGAGCTCAAATCCATAACTCTTTAACTATACCTGCACACGAGTCGAAACCATCTAAAGTGGTCTGTACAATAGGACTGGGTGTAAATAAATACGCTCAAGTGCTACGATCATGTGAAGACTGAGCGAATAATTGTGGGTCACCTACGAATCGTAACCACCTATAGTGGTCTGTACGACAGGATTATGCACCTAACTTGGATCCAAGATGAGCGTGTGGTGCGGGAGGTGAACATCATGTGAAGGACTGTGCCCTACTCTGGGCGGGAGCACTAACATCGGGGGTACATGTTATGAGCTCTCTATGCATCTCAAATCATTACTAAACAAAAACATAAACCATAACTTACCTGGCACTTACATGTGCGTCCACAGCACCAAACATACACACACACATATATATATATATATATATGCAACTACTAATGAATAATTAAATAGGCAAACGCAAAGCATGACATTTAAAACATATAAATGTTTAATTTCATTTTCTGGGAAAATTACAAGTATATAGGTATATACGGAAAACCAAAAGCCCACTTACTGGTATGTAGAAGGGTCGTAACCCCCTTGCCTCGAGTGATTGCGCTCGTCCTAGGGATAGGTCTCACCTATATGCGAAACAACTATAAAAATGTTAATTTAAAGCACATAACTCAAACTACGTACTAACTTCTCATACAATGCTCAAATGGGGTGCATGAATATACCAACGTGATCTACTCAACCTCATGAACATTCCCAAAATTTTAAAATAATTTTATGACGCCGCACGCGCCCCCACGCGTCGGCCAAGGCACGGCCACACTCGCCGCCCATGCGCAGGCACGTGCCTGGCACACTGACGGCGTCAGTTAACGCCGTTAGGAATATTCTGTTATGTCTGACAGATTCCGTTAAAGTTAACCTAACGTCGTTAGGAATATTCCGTCGTCTTTTCCGGCCAATCTCCGGCGCCGTCGCTGTCGCCGGAAAACCAGAAAATTTTCTAAACTTAATATCTCACTCGTTTTTCACCCAAATTTCACGAAATTGGTACCAAAATGAAGCTTACAACTAGAGGAATAAATCTTTACCACTTTCAAGCACTAAAACCAACAGAATCTTGCCAGAAAAACTCCACCAAATCCGGCCAAACCTGCAACTCACGATCCCGACGTCCAAAACCTTCAAACGATCCACCCCGAGCTTCCTAAGGACCTTACCAAGCTTCCTACAAGCCTGAAATTCCCAAAAACACATGAATTTACGTGTGCATGAACAGTACCCCGATATGAACCTCTCGGGTTCGACGTGAAAATAAAGGTTCCCTTACCTGAAATGGGTATGGTTGAACTCCTAAGAACCTCACAAGCACAAATGTACAATTTTCTTCCTTGATCTACCATGTTTTCGAGTGTTTTAGTCTTGTCCGTACACAAGCAGAAGAAAAGAGAGAGAGAGAGACTCGGATAGGAAGAAGATGAGGATGAAAGTGTGGTGCGTGTGTGGTCCAAAATCAGCCCACCAAAACTCCAAAATGACCGCACAACGAAACAAAATACTAGGGGTAAAACCGTCATTTTACCTTACAGTACAAAAAATCCGGGACGGGCTGTCACACTTGTTGGATACTTGGATGAATACTCATTATATGTTTGTTCCCCATATTTTCAATATGCTATAATCTTTAATTTATATGTCATTTTATATTGTAATTTATGTATCATAATACAATTATGTATTTTTGAAAGTATAAATAGGCTTTGCCTAATCCGCCTAGGCGCTAAATCCTAACTCATCGCCCAACTAGCGCCTAACATCTTTTAAAACTGATAATTATGCCTTTTGATCTAAGAAACCTCACTACTTTCTAGTTTTAATAATTATGTTGTCTAGCAAGCAATATTTGAATACTATGCTAACTTTGTTTTTCTCGCAAGATGACTCACCTAATTCGCGTATGCGTTTCTGACAATATTTTCAGTTAGAGTGGAAAGCTAGCAAGATGCATGCTATGCCTTGTGCGTGTACACTTTGCTTATAACCTCTAACAATTAGTTTTATTTCTTTTCTTATGAAAGATTAACAATCACAGTCAATGGTGACTTCCCAAATCATGCAAACTTGTTACCCGTCAAGATTCAGTTTGCTACTGACTTTCACATTTTTGTCCAGATGCCCTATTCTTCATCTATGGGCAATTTTAATTTTTCCATTTTTAATTTATATTTGTTTTGGACGCCAGGCTATTTGCAACTGAAATATTATTTTTTGATTAGTTAGGATGTTTTTGTGATCTTCTTAATGTTGATATATATCGTGTTGATCTAATACCATATTTTCAGACTACATTTATTTGTCTTCTATTGTGTTTTTGACAGACTTTTGTCCCGTGTTTTCTATGCGTAGTACTTTTAAAATATTTGTCAAACAACTATTTTTTCAATTGAAGTGCTTTTACTCATTAAAAGTCGCTTTTGACTCTTTCAAAAAACACATCCAAACAATATATTTTTCTTGTAAATCTTCAATCCTAGGTAATTTCCTTCTTGTGATCGTATTGTTTTTAATTATAATTTGATCGGTATGATAATAGAATCGGTAAAAAAAATATTATTAATGTATTTGTAATATTGTTTTGTCATTATTAAAAAGAGAACAATCTTTTTAAGTATGCTAGATGGTGAGTGTTGTACTTCTCTAAAAATTGATAAAATAACGCTTATAATCCCGAAACACTTATAATGTTTTGCTAACCATTACACGTTTTACATGACATTAGAAGGGAGTCACGGAGTTTCAAGTTTCTCACATTCCACCACAAGATTTTGAACGATACCCATTTATTTATTCTATTTGTTTGATAAGGTTAATTGCTATTTGCCCAAAATGAGGGATCACCTCGTCTTGTTATTATGTTTTGCCTATACCGGTTGGAGTAAATTTTCATTCTCTACAGACCATAGTCTTTATACAATGCTCCGTTAAACTGTATTATTATATCTGATGTACCGTATCTTATTTTCGATACACTGAAAAATCTATGCACTACTAGTAGCTAAATGTTTCCAATAAACCCTTCACACATTTACCTGTGAATCTTACTATCAAATCAAATGTAACTAATTCCCACCCATAAGGGTAGTTTGGATATTGTAACGCACAAGACTTTCCGCCGTGCAAATCTTGTACCTCAAAGTTTTACTGTTGCACTTTGGGAACGTTCCTCGATCCTCGTTTCCTAGCTGTCAGTTTGTCATTGGACACAGGACGGCAGCCTCTGACTGCTGACATTCCCGCGTTTGAATAAAACATTCAACGCACCACGTGGCACTACTCACGAGCCCACAGCTCGCATACAAACACAACACTTTTCGTGTTTTACCGTACCCTCTCGTGTCGGCACGTCTAAAATCTAACCGTTGTAATATGAGTGCGACTGCTTCTGGCTTTATAGCCGTTGGATTTGACCAGCCTGGAATTATCGCAGCGGTTGATTTCTTGAGCTAAACGATGAGGAGCAGCATTTCCCTGTATAGAGTAAATAAGGGTACATCATTATAGCTCGTGTGAACTAGAAAATAGGACTTTAATGAAAAATTTATGGTACTATTTATTTTAATAGAAAATTATATTTTACACTAATAGTGTGTATATTTAAGATTGAATATAATATTTACATGTATTTAATATAATTATTATCGAATTATTAGATATATTCAATATATGTATTTATATAATTACAATTTGATTGTCGATGTGATGATTGTATAATATATATATATATATATATATAAGTATTGTAGCAAAATCTATAAAGTTGTTAGATTATTGATATTGGATGTCACGTTGATGATGTACATG